ATTCACGGGGAAAAAAATTTTTATTTTTATTAGAAAATTTTGTGCGTGTGCGTGCGTGCGTGCGTTTTGTTATTATTATTATTATCATTATCATTTTAGGAATTAGTTTTTTTAAAAAAAATTGTTGTTTTTATATGGGTGTCACGCGTCAAAAGGAAAAACGGCGGTGATTTTTTTTTTATTTTTCCGACTCTTTTTTTTTTTGTTTGTACGGAAATTATTATTATTATTAATATTGTTAGTTTTTGTTTTGTACGAAAGATGGAGATAAAGTGATTATATATATATATATTAATTAATTAATTAATTAATTAATTATATTCCGAAAAAAATGACGTCGGAAATGGAAGAGGAAAAAAAAGATTCGGAAATGGTCGTTGTTAACGGCGGGTAAATATTTTTCACTATTATTATTATTATTATTATTATTATTATTATTATTATTATTATTATTATTATTATTATTATTTTGTTGAAATTTTTCATTTAAAGAAATTTGTCTGACGTTTAAGTAAAAAAAAAAAAAAAAAAATGGCTAAAATGATTGTAGTCGTGTAATAATACGGTAAAAAGAAAAAATTTCGATTTGATTATTTTATTCGTTGGTTGGTTGTTTATGTTTAAAAAGCATGCGTTAATATTTTAGTGTTTGTTCACGCAGTCGATATTACCGTTTGATTTTGATTTCATCGATTTGTACGACAAACGAGCAAACGGAAAAAACAAAAACGTCGTTTGTTGTTTGTTGTCGTAATCGTTAATGTTCGTGTTTTTAAATAGATAATTTGTAGGGAAAAAAAAAAAACAAAACGCGTCGTTAACGGTTACCAAAAAGCAAAATGAAATTTTTATAAATCTGTGTGTAAAAAAAAAAAAAATTGAATAGTTGGAATGATGGGATTTTTGTCGCATTTAAATCACATGTCGTCACAACGATGACGTCATAAGAATCCCCCGCATTCGATGCGATTTTTTTTTTTTTATGTATTTTTCATTGGATTTTTAAAAAGATGTTTTTTTTTTTTTTTTTTTAAATCCCTCCCACCATCCCACGCCTTTTCTCTCTCTCTTTCTCTCTCCTTCTTCCCTCCCCCGCTGTCCTTCTTCCCAATCTATTTTGTATCTATCTTTGTTTCTCTTTCTTTTTTTTTTTTCATCGGTTTTTCTTTTTCTAACTCATCTTCTTATAATCTCCGCGGTTTTTTTTTGTTTTTGTCGCGTTCGAGAACTCGTTGATATTTTTTTGAATTTTTAAATTTTTGGCGCCGAGTGGAGAGGAAAAATTCGAACGTATTAATTATTGTATTCCGGTTCGGAAAAGGGAGGAGGAAAACGTACGCGATTTTACTTTTTTCGAACGGTTATAACGGAAAAAAATCGTCGTCGTCGTCGTCGCCGCCATCGTCGTCCGGCATTTTTTTTTTTTTTTTTTTTTTAAATATCATTTTAAACGCGAAAACTTGTCAATGCCAACTTAAAACAGGTAATAAAACTGGTAGACGCAGGTTTACTAATGCCGGAAAAAGAGGAGAGAGAGAGAGAGAGAGAGAGAGAGAGAGAGAGAGAGAAAAACGTTTCGCTAAAAATTTTGTAAGTTACCTTGACGATTGTTATCATCGAAAGTGTCGGCCATTTTATTATTATTATTATTATTATTACAATTTTTTTTTTTTTAATTCGCGTCCGTTAACGTTTTCCGTTTGTTGATTCGATTTTTTTTTTTGTCGTGTTTCGATTGTCCGTTAGTCCGTTAAAAAAAATAAATGAAAGGGTAAAATGATTTTCAAAAAAAAGGCGGGATTTTCTTTCTCGTGCCACGACAAAAAAAAAAAAAAATGAATTCAAATTATTAATTTTTTATATTTTTTTTCGCTTATTCACGAAAAATATATATATATATATATTTTTTTTTCTGTTTTTGATTTATTAGTTTTGTAATTATTCAGCACATTTTTAATTTTCTTTTTTTTGGGGAGGGGAGGGAAGGGGAACCTGAAAACCTAGTTTGAACGTTTGTTATTATTAAAATGGCGTGTAAAAATCGTTTTTTGCGCGTTCGAATCATCGTCGTCGTCATCGTCGTTTTGTGTTCTTCCATTTGCGTGCATTAATTTATTATTATTATTATTATTATTATTTAAAAAAATAAAAGAGCGCGAGTATGTATGTAGATGGAGCTAATAAGCCCACGCTATTTCTATCTCTCTCTTTCTCTCTGTCTCTCTCTCTTTTCCTTTCGTTTGTTGGAACGTCGTGGTGGTAGATGGGAACGTTGGCGTTTGTAGGAAAAAGCTAAGATGGTCGGTTGCCAATTGAAAAATGAAATAAAATAAAATAAAATGTTTAATATTAATAATAATAATAATAATAATAATTTAAAATAAAATTCCGAGTCATTCCATTTTTTATTTTTTTCCTCCGTTCGTTCATTCATTCATTCATTCATTCATTCATTCGTTCGTGGCAGGACATCAATTCCTGCTTTTATGGATTTCCATGAAATGAAAAAAAAAAAAAAAAAAAAAAAAAAAATGTAGGAAAATGAAAATTTGTTTGTTTGTTTGTTTGTTGTTGTAGTCGTCGGTTTTCCCCCTCCCCAATCTCTTCTCCAATCGTTTTAAAGGTGAAAAACGTTTTCGAAGGTGACGTCATATTAAGGTAGTCTCGATTTAGATTTTAAATAAAATTTAATTCTTTGAACGAGAATCGATTTTCCGACTCTTATTCCATTGGCAATTATTTACGGAGTTTTTTCAATTTAATGACAAAAATTTTTTTACTTTTTTTTTTTTTTTTTAAATACCGTCACGGGAATGTCCCGTTTCTATCTCTCTCTCTCTCTCTCTTTCGTTCCTCCGCAGATTTTTCCTCTCTTTCTTTTTAATATTCCCAATAGATTTGCAATATTCCTTAATTTCCCTTTCTTTTTTTTTTTCTAACCGGTCATCCGTGGAAAGTTTCGAATTATTTTTTGTCGAGAAAAGTGAAAAATTTTTTGGCAAAGTTTTCCCTCCCTCTCTCTCTCTCTCTCTCTTCTCGTTGACAAAAAAAAAATTACGCCGAACGTATTATCAAGTGTGCGCAAATGTTGTGCAACCGAAACGGTTTTTTTTTTATTTTTATTCGAAAACAATTTGTGATAACAAAAAAGCAATAATGATTACGATGTGTGATGATGACGTCACCGCGAGTATTTAATCGATGGAAGGTACTCGAGTTTGAGTCGTTGCAAATACCTTTTGCGAATAACAACAGGATTTTTTTTTCTATTTGTAAATTCGACAGGAAATCGCCATGTTTAAAAAGTTAGTCGTTTTTTTTTTTTCTTCCGAAAGGTTTTCGATGAGTGATGACGGTGGTCGTGACGGTTGAAATGGTGGGGGTGGTGGTGGTGATGGTTGAAGTAGGGGGGGGTGGTGGTGATGATGATGATGATGGTTTAAAGTCTTTAACGAAAATTCGGTTCAATCGAAGGTCTTGATATTTAAAAAAAATTGTTTGGAGATGGAAAAACAAAATTTGAAATTTTCCGAGGTGTGCGTACCTGAAAGCGTGTACCTGAAATTTCTCGTTAAAAAAAATGGAATGTGCGGTGCGCAAGAGTATTAAATTTTAATATAAATTAAAAGTGCGATTCGAATATCAATGAGTACCAAAAAGAAAAGAAAAGAAAACTGTTAGTTATTATTATTATTAACGTACCTTATTTGTACATGTGTGTGAGTGTGCGTAAGTGCAAAACGTTTCTACCGTGACGTATTCTTTTTTTTTCCTAAAAGGTTATAATGTAAATAAAGAGCGGAAGCCATTTTGAAACGAAATAGAAAAAGAAAGAAAGAGAGAGAGAGAAATAATTCAAACGAAAAATTTGACACAGAAAAAAAAAATATATATAAATATATATTTAGACGAAGACCTTCTTATATTATATTATTCCGTCAGGTATTTATATATATTACGTGGCAAATTGTCTCGTTCGAAATGAGAGATATTTTTGTCTCTTTGCATGAATATTAATTTTAATTTCTCTTTCTCCCCCCCCCCCCCGATTCGATCAATCGATCGATCGGTTGTTGGTTTCGTATCGACGGTACAAACGTAACGTGGATATAGATAGGGATTAGATTAAAGGATTTGCATGAATGCAAATTTGGATTTCTCTCTCGATTGATTCATTATTATTATTATTATTATTATTACCTGGACCTCAGTGCGTACCTCGATGACGTGATTGATGGAGGTAAGGTGCGTGTGCGTGGCAAACGGTTTTCTCTATCTCGACAATGGCGGTTTTTTTTTTTTTTTGGATGTTTTCCAAATGAGTTCATCATTAAAACGACAAATTCGACGATTGTGTTAGTACACTACCACCGGCACTACGGCTAACAAGCCATTATTATTATTATTGTTATTATTATTATTATTACTACGGTGGAAATAATGATGATGATGATGGGAATAATAAAAACTCGAGTATTGAGTAGACAGTACTCGGCCGCGAAAGAGGAAATGAAAACGAGAGAGAGAGAGAGAGAGAGAGAGAGAGAGAGAGAGAGAATTTAAAAACCGTCAAGAAATGCATGTAATAATAATAATAATAATAATAATAATAATAATAATAATAATAATAATAATAATAATAATAATAATAATAATAATAATTAATAATAATAATAATAATAATTAATAATAATAATAAAACAATGAAATACAGGTTTCCCTCCTTTTTTTGTTTTAAAACAAAAATTATTTTCAAACTTGCAATTATTTATTATGTTCGAGTTGAAAATATTTTATTCGAAGCAGAAGAAAAAGAAAAAAGAATGTTTGTTTGTAACGGTCGAAAGAACATAACGAAATATTTAACGGAAATTTCAGGTCGTTTTGTTGTTTGCGTGGTTGTTGTTGTTGTTGTTGTTGTTGTCGTTAGAATCGTCACATCATCGTGATCGTCGATGACTTTTTCGAAATTAATTTTTTGTTCCTTTTCCTTTTCCAGAATGGTGTTGGATCCGTCAGTCAACAAAAGTGATTATGGAACGCTGAGCATCGTGGTAGAAGATCCAACAATGAAAAAACAAGATACTATTTATCAAAGGCAACCCCTTTTGCCGCAACAGAATTCGTTGGCTTTAACAATCGAGGACAGCGATGACGAACCGGAAACGGGTAGTAGCAGAAGTCAAACGAACGGAAGAATAATTAATATAAAGTTACCCCCTCCGTTAAAAGATGAGCCTAGGTATCCGAAGGAAATATTTAAAACATTTTTAGGTGAGTTTCCCACACGCATATATACGGATTTCTTCTGCCACGATAGGAAAAAGTAAAAACGCGATTAGCAAAAGTTCGTTCGAACGGGTGGGAGGAGGAGGAGGAGGGGGAGGGGAGGGGAGAATTTTTTTTTTTTACTGCCGAACATTAAAATCAACTTTAATGAGACTCGAAGGTTAAATTTTTTTTTTTTTTTAATGGACTTAATTACACGGGTATTTGATGTGTCCGCCCTTTTGAAAATTTTTTTCAAAAAAAAAAAAAACAAAATATTTATTTACGCGCGGATTTTTGTGCGTTTATTTAGAATCACGCGGCGTGAACAAGGAAAAGTAATAAATAATTCGATAAAGCGGATGTTTTTTTTTTTTTTTTTTTTTTAATTACTCCAACAAATATTTGAATTGTTTTGGTTGCAATAAGTGGATAAAGAATTTTTAAAAATCGGGGAACTAGTAAAAAAACGTGGCACTAATTATATTAACGGAAATGAACAACGTTCCGGTATATAGTAGGGTTCGCGTAAGGGTTTCGAACTTTTTTTTTCTCTCCATGTAATATCATTATTATTATTAATATGGTTAAAATTGTTTTATAGCTTTTATTATAATGTCAGCGGGCATGATCTTGAGCACGGCCGTTTTGTCTGTCGTTCACGAGCGAGTGCCTAACTTGGACGTTAACCAAAGAAACGTTTCCAAGCCCCTTCCCGACGTCTTCTTGGATAATGTGCCTACGAACGACACATGGGCCTTAAACAGCTCCGAAATATTAATAATGATCTCTGTAAATACTTGCGTTGTTGTTATTTTTTTTCACAAGCACAGGTAGGTTGTACGCTTTTACCCCCTCCCCCCTTCTGCCCCCCACCACCGAAGTTTGTTGCCCTTTTCCCTCGCGGATTTAAATGGCGTTTTTTTTGTCTCTTGTAGATTTATAGTAGCACGAAGAGTATTTTTACTAATGGGAATATTGTACCTCATGAGATGCATAACGATGTACATCACCGTGTTACCCGTCGCTTCGTACACGTACAAATGCAGTCCTCCGGCGGATAATCCGAACGCTTTAATGTACTTAAAAAGAATGTGGCAGCTTTTGACCGGATTCGGTCTTTCCATAAACGGGAAACACACTTATTGCGGAGACGTCATTTACAGCGGTCACACGCTCATACTCGTCATGAGTTACTTAATCATAACAGAATGTGAGTGAATTTTTATTTATATATTTTTTTTTTCTCCTCCTTCCCCCTCCCCCCGTCGGTCTTCTTTCCCCCCCTCTCTCTCCTCCCACCTCCTCCTTCCCCTTAATCTCTACAGCCAGAAGTTTCCAGGACTTTGATTCAGAAAAAAAAAAAATTTAAATCCGTACATTTGAACTTGACAAAAGTTCTCTCTCTCTCTCTCTCTTTCGTGCGTGTGCGTGTGTGCGTGCGTGCGTGTGTGCGTGAGCTGCTCTCCTCCATTTACTATCGTTGTACGTTCGACCATTTTAATTTTAATTAGGGCTATTTATAACAACATCCGTCATCGTTTTGAAAGGTCGTTCCCCGTTTTTCTTTTTCATTATTGTCCTCCTCCTCATCATCATCATCATTATTATCATCATTATTATTATCATTATCATTTTTTTTTAAAGGTTTTTTTCAAGGGGGAAAAAAAAAAAAAAAAAAAAAAAATTTTTTTTTTTTTTTTTTTTTTTTACTTGAATCGTTAATTAAATTATATGTGAGTGGGTAATTTTTTTCCTTTTTTTTATGCTCATAACAATTCGTCTTTTTTTTTTCTTTTCTTCTGCTGGATAATATAAAAAAAAACAAACAAACATAATAATAATAATAACAACGTTAGCGAAAAGGCGTTAAATAAGGTCGAATTTTAATTTTTTTTGTGTACGCGTTTTCAATGAATATTTTTTGTTTTCATTTTTGAATAATAATAATATTAATTATGTATTGAAGAAGAAGAAGAAGGAAAATAAAAGCAGAAGACAAAAAGAATTAGTTTTACACGTATACGAGAATAGTTTTATTGTCGTCGTTAAAAAAAAAAAAAGCGCGAGCGAGCGAGTTAAAGCGTAGCGTAATTGTTTGTTACTCTATGACATTTCAAAAGGTTAAAATATAACGTTGTTAGAGGGCGGTGTCTCATTCTTATTTGAAAAAAAAAAAACGTTATTGGGGGAAAATGTTTTTTTTTTTTTTTTTAAATCCAGAGTCGTCGCGTTCGTTATTATTATTATCATTATTATTATTATTATTATTATTATTTTGAAATTTCAGATTCGCCTAGGAAATTAGTACCTTTGCATTGGCTTTCTTGGGCCATGAGCTTTTTCGGAATTATTTGCGTTCTCATTGCTCGCGGTCATTATTCGATCGACGTCGTCGTAGCTTATTACGTAACAACGAGGTTGTTTTGGATTTATCACACAATGGCATGCAATGCTAAGTTCAAGGTGAGTATTATTATTATTATTATTATTATTACTTTTTTAAGATGCATTTCGCTCGCTTCGTCGTTTTTATTACTTTTTTTTTTTTTTTTTTTTATTTTTATTTTCAAAGAGATAAAGATGCAACGAATTCGATAACAACGTGTGTGCGCACGCGCTCGCGCCCGTGTGTGTGTGTGTGTGTGTGCGTTTGAGATGAAGAAAAGGCAACGTCGCCTTTCTCATTCGTTTTTTTTTTTTCTTTTTCGGTCCACAACGGTAACTTTCTTTTAAAAGATTAAAAATGTTGCGAAGAAGGCGTGACAAGTTTTTTTCTTAATGATTAAATATTTTGGGTCAACAATTGTTGTAACCGTTAAATTGCGCGTTTGCTTTCACGATAATTTGACGAACGACTTTTTTTAATCGTTTGGCGCGAAATTTAAAATTCGAATTCATCGGGTTTTAATTACACGACGATTCGTAATCGGAACCGATCGACGACTTTTGTCGACACCTGGCGGAAATAATTGTAATTATTTTCGATCGTTTATTCGAATCGCGATCCATCGCGGGAATAAGAATCGAGAAAAATAGCAGACGAAGCGACGCGCATGCGCACACACACATGAAATTATTTTAACGATTTTTTTATTTTTGTTTTTTTTTTTTGTTTTTTTTTTTTTTCAGGAATTGGGACCAAACAACTTTTTGGCGCGAGTTTGGTGGTATCCGGTGTTTAAATATTTCGAAGGAAACGTCGCGGGACCCCTTCCGAGACAATACGACTGGCCTCTTCCGTGGCCGAGAAGATTCCTTTCGAAACATCCGAATCGCGATAGTTAGTCATTATATATACAAGATGGTGGTATTAGGTTCCTCATAGATTGTAGTTGATTGATTGATTGATTGATTGATTGACTGACTCTGCCCTACTACTCTTTTACTCGTGATTATTACGCGGCGGTTACGTTTTTTTTTTTTTTTTGTGTGAAAAATCGATATACGTGTAGGTGTGCACGTGCAGATGATGATGATGATGATGACGTTTTAACGAAATTAAAAGAAAGTCTTTGATGAGGATTGTTATGCTTTGGTGATGCCGACGGTGACGACGATGATGGCGGACGCGATGGTGGTGGTGGTGATGGTGATGGTGTCGGTTTATCACTTATGAGACTCTTTGCTTCCTCCCTCGTTTCTTCCCCCTTCCGTCCCTCCCTCCCACTCCCCTCCTCTTCCCTTCCCGCCCCCTCTACCCTCCCCTTCTCGTGAACTTTTCACACGATCCCCCCCCCCCCCCCGGATATTACAGTGATGTATAACTAAAAAATATTATAATGGTGGTGCATTAGGATTGTAAAAGTTTATATTTATTTATTTATTTTTATTTATTATTATTATTATTATTATTCATTTTTTTCGTTTTTCTTATGGGGAAAAAAATAATGATAATGATAATAGTGATGATGATTTATTTTCCGTTAAAAATGATGGGAGAAGAAGAAGAGGGAGGGATGGTGGAGGAAGAAAGGAAGGAAGGAAAATTAATAATACAAGTTGGATAAATAATAATAATAAATTTTTTTTTTTTTTTAAATGCATTTTGTAAAATGATTCTTTTGTAAATGATAATGATAATAATGAAAATGGCGTTGATAGTGATGATGATGATGATGATGATGATTATGATGATGATGATGATGATGAAGTGTTAGAAGAAATAGAAAAAGGGAGAAACGTCAAATGATTTTTTTTCTTTTTTTTTTTTTTTTTTTGTTAATGTAAGAAAAAAAATGATGAGTAAATAAATAAATAAATAAATAATAAAACGTCGTGAATCTCTATTTTATTTTTATTAATAATAATAATAATATTTAAGGAAATGCAAAAGGAATCGATCGATCGATTATTGATTATTGATTAAATTTAAGTAAGATTTCGCCATGGTTTTATACATATATATTTTTTTTTTAAATTCAAATTGTTTTATACTTAAATCATTTTATTTATAAATAAATTATGTAAAGATGTGAATTTTTAATTAATTAATAAATTAATCAATAATTAAATAAATGAATAAAGAGAAAAATAATAATAATAATTATTATTATTTTAACGTTTTTATTTTGAAATACGTTGGGGGAGGGGGGATATGTTGTTATCGCGACATTTAATTCGTTGTAATTATTATCATTATCATATTCACGATTATCGTTTCGTTATTGTCATTATTATTATTATTATTATTATTTTAAAATGTTATTTATTTATTTATCAGTTTAATTTTATTAATATTATTATTATTATTATTATTATTCTGTAATATTTGTTTTAACGATTATCAAAAAGTAAAAAAAATACAATTATTACACGAAAGTTGTATTTATATAATTAATTAATTAATTAATTAAAATTAAAACGTCGATGTTTATTATTTTAATGTAAAATGCTTTTTAATAACGATTCGTAATTAATTATTTTGTTTAATTAAAAAAAAGAAAAAAAATCAAAAAAAAAAAAAAATGAAATTAAATGTTTTAAATATTTGTTTAAAAAAAAAGATACTGATTTGATTAAAGTCGTTAAGAAAAATAAAATTTCCTGGTTTCTGATTGGTTGTTGAATTTCAAATTTGCTGGATTCCGATTGGTTGTCGAATTTGAAATTTTCGAACGTTTTTTTTTCATTTTGATTTTCGTATCGGTTCGGAATGGTTTTTGTTTGTTTTCGAAAAATTTCGTTTTCAAAATGTTTTTATTAATAAATGTGATGTAAATATTATTTTTTTAAAAAAGTGTATCGATTAATAAAAAACCGTTAATAATTATCAATAGATTTTAATTAATATTCGTCAACAAAACAAAAAAAAAAAAAATGAAATGTGTTGATGGAATCCTCTTAGAACGCAACCATATTTTCAACGGTAATTTCATTTAATTATTTTATTATATGCAATAATTTTGAAATTAATAATCGTATTATTTTAATTGTTATCGTTTATTGATGAATAAATAATTGAGTTCATGGTAATAAATAGTTTAAAATAAATAAATAGAAAAAGAAGTAAAATAACAATTATTCTTTTATGAAAAAAAAATATTACAATATGGATGATTCACTTGCTTAAATTATTACAAGAAAATTTTATAAAAAAAAATATTCATTAAAAAAGTAAATAATTATGCTTTTATCTTGTTTTAAACAATCGTGAATTACATTAACTAATTAATAACAAATAACAGAGAAAAAAAAAAGGTAAATTTACCACTTTTTTGATCTTATTTAATAATATGGCATTTATTGCTTATTACATTTGTTTCTTTTGTGGTATCAAAAACCAAAAAAAAAAAATTTTTTATTTTAATTAAACATATAAAATAATTATACGCATATCTTATTCGATTTTGTTTAAGGTAATAATGATGATGATGATGATGAATATAGAAAAAATTTAATTTATTTAATGATGTATAAGGATATACATCCATGTTTAAAAGTTTTCTTTTCTTTTTTGTTTGATAGATGATTATGTTATTTAAATTGGAGAGACTGAAATATATATATATATATATTTTTTTAATAAATAAATAAATAAAATTTGATTATTTAGGCCTTCTAAATTAGTATGTATAGTTTTTTAATTGTAAAAAAAAGAAAACTTTATATATATAGGTAAATAGGTATTTAATTATGTAGTAAGTGATAAATTTGATTTTAATTGATAAATATATATATATATTTACATAGTGTATTTAAATAAAAAAAGTCCTAAATTAAATCTTTTTTTTTAAGTTTTATATATAAATATATTTATTATTATTATCCTATTAATATAAATAAAGACATTTAATTTAAATAGAAATTTTTGTTTTTAAAAAAATAATAATAATGATTTTCATTTGTATTGGTCATGGAATTCCTAAATTTCTTGTTGTTATTAATCGAATCAAATGATTTTAGGTAAAGGTATTCGTTATTAATTAATTATAATTTGGTCGTACCTAGAATTTTTTCAATTATAAAATTACTCATTTCATTCATTTATCATTAGTCACGCGGTATGTCATAGAGTAATAAATAATTTGTTTTACGTTCAACGATGGCAACGTTTCGAATACGAAAAATAATAAAATTAATCACGTGAATATTTTTTAAATTTAATTTAACCTCTCCGACGATTGATTTCTTAACGTTTACTCGTTCTTCTTATGTTTCAAAAAGTATTTTTTAACATTAAAAGACGGCTTTGTATTTGTTTTTACAATGTTCATGTCGTTCATTTTGTAATTTTTTTATATCGGTCGCGTTTTAAACATTCTATGGCGTTGATTCGTTAAAAAAAAAGTCAAGTATTATTTTTTCTCATCGAGATTTCTTTTTGAATAAAAGAAAATTTAGAAAATAATAGAATCGACGGTAAGTTTGCTTTTTTTAAAATTAAAATTGTATTGAATAAAAACGGTGTTTACTCGTGACAAAATTCACCTATCGACATGAGTGAAATTCAACCGTGACGTCATTAACGTCCTGACGTCACAACCCTTTCGCGCTCTTAAGAAAATACAAAATATAAGTAGTTATATTTGTTGACGCCCAGTATATAAGTTTTTATTCATGTAAGTGATATTTAATTTTTGTTATAAAAAAAATACATTTAAAAAATAATAAAAAGAGTGTATTTAATTTGATTTGACGAACGGAAGGGTACTATCATTTATTACAAAAAAATTTATCTTGATTTACTTGATTTCACGTTATAAACAAAATGGCCGACTGGAGCCGTGTTTAATAGTTAGTTATAGTTAATGTCTAGTTGGGTTAACACGGTGACAGGTAATTTAATTAAAAAGATTTAAAATTAAATAAAATTAAAACGAAATCAACGAAAATTATTTCAATTTGAAAGGTTTAAGTGATTTAAATTATCAGACATAAAAATTGAATTTATTTAATGAGCCTACTGTCATGGAATGCAGGGTGTTACTTTCTCAATAATTTTATTTTATTTTTTTTTAGTTTTTACATCATGCAAACCATAAAGTGCGTTGTAGTTGGAGATGGAGCCGTAGGAAAAACATGCTTATTAATATCGTATACAACAAATAAATTTCCTTCCGAATATGTACCAACAGTAAGTAATCCCTATTAATACGGCATTAACTACTTTTCTATGGTGATGTAATTAAAGTCACATTTTTTTTTTTAACTTAACTTAACGTTTTTAAAAGTGTTTCCGTTGCTATGATTTATATTACCCTAATACACAAATCAAACACAAAATTAACCTTTAATTAATATTATTATTACAATCAAAAATAATAATAATAATAAATTGATACTAATGTATTTGTTTTTCATTAAAAAATTTTGTTTTAGGTTTTTGATAATTATGCAGTAACTGTAATGATAGGAGGTGAACCATATACATTAGGATTATTCGATACTGCAGGTCAAGAAGATTATGATCGTCTTAGACCATTAAGTTATCCACAAACTGATGTTTTTCTCGTTTGTTTTTCCGTCGTTTCACCTTCCAGTTTTGAAAATGTTAAAGAAAAGGTAAAAAAAAATATGCGCAGGAGGTATTTAATCCTAAAATTCATTCAGCAAAATTTTCATATTCTTTACTTGCTGTTGTCGGGAAGAGGAGGGGGAGGGGGAAAATTACGAAAACAAATTTGTTTTCTGTTTTTTTTAGTGGGTTCCAGAGATAACGCATCATTGTCAGAAAACTCCATTCCTATTAGTCGGAACTCAAATAGATTTACGAGATGATGCGGCAACGTTGGAAAAACTTGCAAAAAATAAACAGAAACCTATAAGTTTAGAGCAAGGTGAAAAACTTCATAAAGAGTTAAAAGCTGTTAAATATGTTGAATGTTCTGCATTAACACAGGTAATTCATACTCTTTGACATTTATCTCTCTCTCGCTATCTTCTCATTTTACAACAAACAAAAATTAGTCGTAGGCAAAACAAACTTAAAACGAAACAATCGAACATTTCTTAAAATTAATTTTATAATATTTTAAATCGGTTTTTAACTTTTAATTCATTCAAAAATTTATCATCATCATCATCATCATTTTTTTTTTCACTTTGATGCTATTATTGTTATTATTATTATTATTACTATTTGTTTGTTTGTGTTTGTAATATCAATAACTGTCTGTGATAACCAATCTATTCTCTTGATATGTTTGTAGTCAACCTGCAATTTAAAAATTCTTTTTTTTTGTGAATTCGACCTTGTTGATATACATTAATCTTGTTTTGATTTATTTTTTTATCTCTTTTCGTTTGTTTTCATTTCATTCCCTTTAATTCGTAAATTTTTTTTTACAAAATGTTTGTTTTCATAAAAAATTTTTTATTAATTGATTTAGTGACAACAAACAAACAATGTAGACAATGAATAATAATAATAGTTAAATTATTATTATTATCGTCGTTCTCGTCCGTTAATGGTTGTTGAATTCAAACCGGAAGTTTTTATAAACCTGATTTGTTTTCGTAATTTATTATTATTATTATTATTATTATTATTATTTTTGTGAACGTGTTTGTTTGTTTGTTTGTCGCGTTTGTTCGCTTTTTAATAATTTTTTTTTTTGTTGTCTAGGGTGGTGGGAACTTTTGTTTACGATTTGAAATTCGATCAGTTTGTAATCGGTTATTCGTCGTTTGTTTGTTTGATATTAAAAACAATTAAATTGTTGTTAATATTGTTTGTTTGTTTGTTTGTTTGTTGTTTTTGTCATTCATTGTAATTATTATTTTAATTACAAACAAATAAAACACAAATCGATCGATTAAACACACACACGCTTATATTTCATTTGTCACTTTATTATTATTATTATTATTATTACGGTCATTCATTTGCCGCCATTTTGTTACATCAAATTATATTTAAACGTTTAATTTCAATTGTTTTCCATTTTTTTTTAAATAAAATTTTACATCGAAAGAGACAATGACGTCATAATTATGTCGCTGGAAATGACCGACGTCCGGTTTTTATTATTATTATTATTTATTTATTTATTTTTAATGTGATAATTGCGTGTTGTAATAATTCCATTTAGTTTAATTATTATTATTATTATTTGTTTTTTTTTTGTAATTTGCAGAAAGGACTGAAAAACGTTTTCGACGAAGCAATATTAGCAGCTTTAGAACCACCAGAGCCAGTCAAAAAAAGAAAATGTATTCTCTTATAAGAAAAAAAAAAAAAAAGAGAGGAAAAAGGTGAATAAGAATAACTAAAAAAGAAGAAGAGGAAGGAGGAGGAGGAGGAGGATAATAATAATAATAATAATATTAATAATTATAAGAAGAAGAAAAAAAAACGAAAAAAAAAAAAAAAAAACAAAAAAAAATTGATGATAATAATAATAATAATATTCGACGGCCAACATAATTTTTAATTTTTCTATGTATGTAAAACGTGTAGTAGTATGCGCTCCACCCCGTAAGGATGTTGATTCTCTCGTTGCTTTCGTCATAGGGATGACGTCACACATTTACAATTTTTTCTAATGTAAACATTTACGATTTTACAAAAGAGAGAGAGAGAGAGATATTCAAAAGTTTTGTTTTTCTTCTCTTTTTTTAACGATAAGTAAAATTCTTATTCGAACGGGGAAATTTTTTCAAGATGGCGGCTATACCTAAGCGAGGGTCAAAGTGTGTCGGATTCGTTTCCATTTCGATTCGGTTATAAAATTTAAATTTTTCTTTTTCTTTTCGTCGCGTTCCCCATATTAAAATTAGTTTTCAGGTACGATTGATAAAATCTTGATACGGACACCAATGAAAGGAAAAGGATGAATGAAAATTTATTCAAAGTAGTAGACGAATATTATTATTATTATTATTATTTATTAGGAGTGACGTCATAAAAAACCACGTGGAAAAATCATTCTTTTTTTTTTTTTTTTTTTTTAAATTAATTTTTATATCCGTTAGAGAAAAAAAAACGAGGGGAGAGCAACGGCAGCAGCAACAACAACAACAACAACAACAACAATCATCGAAATGGGGGGGGGAGCTGTGTGAAAAATGTGAGAGAGAGAGAGAGAGATATGAAAAGTGGCCATTAAAAAAAAAACCGCGGACAAAACAAAAAAATAATAATAATGATAATAAAACGCGGGGGAGAAAGAAAGAAAAAGAAAAAAAAATTGTCGTGGTGCTGCTTATGTGTAAAAAAATATAAAAAATTATTTTCACTCTTTCTCTTTCTCTCTCTTTTTCTCTTTCTTTCTCTTTTTCTCTCTCTCTCTCACACACACACTTTTCTTTAGTAAGACTAATAAATTACGTAACATTAAATGAATAATAAATACTAACTAACATAACCGATAAATAAACGCCTAATTTTTTTTTATTTTCCCGTTTGTTCGTTTGTTATTATTTCTCGAACGAGCGAGAAATTGTATTATTATTATTTTGATTATTAATTTGCTATAGATATTTAATAAATTTTTTTACATGCATATATATATATACATATATATATATTTTCGAGTAATAATACCATTATTATTATTATTATTATTATTATTAACATTCATCATCATCGTCATCATCAAACTCATCTTTATCATCGTTATTATTATTATTATTATTATTATTATTATTATTATTATTATTATTAGTATATTATCATTTATTTAATTTTTTATTTGTTTGTTTGTTTGTTTGTTTAAAAAAAAACGTAAAAGCGGCGTAAGGGTAGTCAAATATACGCAAATAAATAAAAATTCAAGATTTATATTTAACAGGAAGTGAATTAAATAAAACCCACATCCGTTTGTCGATAATAATAATAATAATAATAATAATAAATTATACAAAAGAATTTTTTTCTTTTTTTTTTTCTCTTTTTAATTCTATTTCGAAGTATTATTATTTTTTATTAATTATGAAAGAAATAAATTCAAAAAACAAAAAAAAAACAAAAAAAAAAAAAAAATTATATATACATATATATATAAAAAAATAAAATTTTTTTATCTACTAATTATTTTGTTGTTGTTGTTTATGGTTTTTTTTTGTGTAATGTTTGTCCTTTGTTACCTTATCCTACGGGAATAAAATGATGACGTCATAAATTATATTAATTAAAATTTACAACGGGGTTTCTTATTACTTTCATTTCATTTTGATTCATGTTTGGGTTAGGGTTAGTTACGTCATTGAATATCGTTTTACGAAAAAATTGACCGTTATTTAATTATTTGGTGATTATAATAATAATAATTTACGTGAAATTCATAAACTTTATTATTATTATTATGATTACTTAATTGTTTTTTTTTTTTTTTTTAAATACGTTTTATTCAAAGACAAATTGATTTAAATAAAGTTTTATTAGTTGAATTGTCGGTTAAAAAAAGAATTAATCGAAAAATATCGATACGATTTCGATATATGTAATTTTCGATATATTTGGCGTCTTTTCTCTGAGAGAGGGGAATAACAAATACGAGGATTAAAATAATTCGGTAATTAATTATATTTAATAATATATATTTTGTAATTAAAAGTAAATATCGTTTTTTTTTTAATATTAAATTTAATTATATTTTAATAAATTTGACGCGTTCGTTATAAATTAAATATATATATTTAAAAATTTCATAGATGAAATAAACTCGATGTGATACATACATGATATATAGTCGGTTATTAAGTTGATTAAATCACCGGTTTTGGGTGATTTAAATAAATAATTATTTCTATGAATCAAATAAATACGGCTAAACGAAAACATTCTCTAGTAGATTCTTATAAAAAAGAAGAAGATGGTGATGTTAATGGTGAGTATTTGTTTTTTGTTTTGTTGAGATTTATCTTTCCCTCTTGATTTTCAATACACTTTGATTTGTGTAAACTTTAAAGTATCTCATTTTAATTTTAATTTTACTGTTTTTTTTGTCGTTTTACACAATAGCATATCGATAAATTAAATTACTTCAATTTTTTAAAAGAATTTTTAGGTTAGGTTATCAGATAATGTATTTTTGATTATGAGATATGCTCTTGATTTTGTTTTTTTTACAGATTCAACATTACCCCAAAAGAGAAATCACAGATTGTGTCCTTATTTAGACACAATTAATAGACAAGTTTTAGATTTTGATTTTGAAAAATTATGTTCAGTATCTTTGTCGAGAATAAATGTTTATGCATGTCTTGTATGTGGTAAATATTTTCAAGGAAGGGGTACAAACACATTAGCTTACACACATTCTGTCAGCGATGGACATCATGTTTATTTAAATTTACACACTTTAAAATTTTATTGTTTGCCTGATAATTATGAAATTATCGGTAAGTTTTCAATTTGATTCGATTAATTTTTTGTTTCGTTTTTTTGATTGATTCGAAACTTGTAATTTGAAGATTCATCATTGGATGATATAAAATATGTCCTTAATCCGACATTTACATCAGAACACATAAACAGTTTAGATAAAACAGATAAATTATCAAGAGCCATAGATGGAACATTATACCTTCCCGGAATTGTCGGATTAAATAACATCAAGGCAAACGATTACTGTAATGTCGTCTTGCAAGTGAGTCGTTTTTCATAATAAACGAAAAAAAAAAAATTTCTTTATTTTATCGATAAGTAAAAATCTTTTAAATTTTCATTCTTTTTTAGGCCCTCTCACATGTTTCTCCGCTTAGAAATTATTTTCTTAGAGAAGTCAATTATTCAAAGGTGAAAAGGCCACCTGGAGATTCTTCATTTTTATTAGTTCAAAGATTTGGAGAACTTTTGAGAAAACTTTGGAATCCTAGAAATTTTAAGGCGCATGTTTCTCCGCATGAAATGTTACAAGCTGTTGTTTTATGGAGTAGGAAAAAATTTCAATTTACAGAACAAGGTAATGAGGGAGGGATTTTTTTTTTAATTAAATTAAATTTCATTCGAGTGACGAGACAATTACTTTTAATTTCAAGGGGATCCGATTGATTTTCTATCATGGTTTATAAATTCACTTCACATTGCGTTAAACGGAACTAAAAAACCAGACTCATCAATTATTTACAAATCATTTTTGGGATCGATGAGAATATACACGAGAAAAATTCCACCCACAGAATTGGAAGATAAACAAAAAGTTGCACTTTTGCTCACGGATGAATATCAGGAAAAAATAACTGAAAGTCCATTTTTGTATCTTACTTGTGATTTACCTCCGCCGCCATTGTTTAAAGATGAATTTATGGAAAATATAATTCCACAGGTTTTTCATTCATTCGTTTAATCCTAACTACTTTTCTTTTTTTTTTCGAATAAAAGTCATCAGACATGATTTGTTTTTTTTTTTTGCAGGTCAATTTATATACTTTATTGACGAAATTTAACGGAACGCAAGAAAAAGAATATAAAACGTACAAGGATAATTTTTTAAAAAGATTCGAAATAACCGTTTTACCACCATATTTGATATTATACATAAAAAGATTTACGAAAAATACATTTTTCGTTGAAAAAAATCCAACGATCGTTAATTTTCCCGTTAAAAATGTGGATTTTGCCGATATTATGACGGACGATGTTAAAGCCATGCACAAATACACGACTTATGATCTCATAGCGAATATTGTTCACGATGGCGAACCCAATAGAGGAACGTATAGAGTCCACGTTCTTCACAAGGGTAACGGAAAATGGTACGAAATGCAGGATCTTCACGTGACCGATATACTACCGCAAATGATAACATTAACCGAGGCTTATATACAAATATACGAACTTAACGTTAATGTCGTGAATGAATTTTGGAAAAAGAAATAAAATTAGTATTTTTTTTTTAAAAAAAAGTAAAATGGTTTTTTTAATTATCAATTTTTAACAGAAAATATACATGTATCGTCAACGATAGCAAAACGTTGACGTTGAGAAAAATTATTTCATTTTCCCTCCCGTTTCACCATATCTATCGTTTATTTACTCTATGGAATTTGCTAGTGTTCGAAAAATGTTTACTTTTTTTTCCACAGCAAATTCGATACGTTTAATCCAATTACGTTTCTTTTTTTTATTCGTGTAATAAATACAAAAATTTCAATAGTATAATTAAATTAATTATGACGTGACGTTTTTTTTTTTTCATAATGTATATTTTGCGTGAAACGTTTGGAGAAAAAAAAAATTTGAATAATTAACGTATATTTAAAAAATTCAAATGAATTTTTTTTTGTTTTTGAAATTATACTCGATGAAATCGGTTGCCATGACAACCAACGGATTCAAAACACAGAGAGAGAGTAATAAGGAATTTATAAGTTACAAAAAAGTTTTTTAATTTAATTTTTCTATGTATTTATGTATGAATACGTAAAAATCAAAAATTAAATTAATATGAATCGTGTGGTAGAATTAAAAGCATCAAACGATAACGATTTATATTCTGGTTATAATGAATATCCGTCAAGTTTTGATATAAGAGATTTAGATAAAGATGAATTGTTTCAAGAAGCTTTGTTAAAATCAAGCCACGGAAGAAAAAATTTGGTAAGTAAAACTAATTAATTCATATATTTAACGTTTCATTTATTAATATATTTATATAAAATATTATTATTATTTCCAGTTTAAACCAGGAACTTCGTACAGGACGTTTTTAAAATCAGGCGTGAGTATGCGACATCAAATTTTCATTAAATTTTTTTTTTTTTATTAATTACAAATAATATTATGGAATGACAGCATGGAATATCGAGCAGTTTGGGATATCGTGGATTATCCGTACGAGGACTCCTTCAATCTGGAAGGAGTCAAGCTGGATATACGGGACGTTCCACCGCCATTGTACCACCACAATCTGGATTTGCCGATGATGATTTTATCAGGCCCATGACAGCCGTACGTGGAGCTGGATACACGAGTCAAGGAAGACCAGGAACTGGATTATTTGATCCATTAAATCAAAAATTACAAGGTCCTCCAGTTGGATTTGAAAAAATCGAAGAAACGTAGGTATCCTCCCTCCCCCTTTATTTAATTTTAACGTGAAAGAAATCACAAAAATTTCAGGCCGGAGGACAAAATTAAAAAATTAGAAAAACAAATAATGGAATTAATTGAAGAATCTGCGTGTCTCAATGTCAAAGGTCAAAAAAAACAAGCATTAAGTAAAGCAAAAGAAGCTTCTAGCAAAGAAAGAAATTTGATAAGAATCGAAGAAAATTCTGGAATGAGTGAAACTCATAATTTGGATTTAACATTATTGGTAAGAACATAATAAATTGGGAACAACAACACAAAACATTATGTTTTACTTATTATTATTATTATTCCATCAAACATTTCGTGATGGATTAAATGAAATCATTATCATTATCAAATCAGAAAAAAAAGGATTGTTTTGATACAAAGTCATGTCATAATCATTTCAGGTATTGTTTAATTTGGCTACACAATATTCCGATAATGAAATGTACACGGAAGCATTGAATACCTATCAGGTCATGACGAGAAACAAAGTTTTTAGCAAAGCAAGAAGACTTAAAGTCAACATGGGAAATATTTATTATAAACTTCAACAATATAATAAAGCAGTTAAAATGTACAGGATGGCCATGGATCAAGTACCGAATACACAAAAAGATTTCCGGTTGGTCGACAAACGTTTTCCATCATCTCCTTTCCCACCATTTTTATTTGAAGAGTAGTTCTATTTCCGTTTCCTTTATTTATATATATATTTTTTGGTTTATCAAATAGATTTATTTCAGAATAAAAATAATGCACAACATAGGTACGCTTTTTTTAAAAACCGGAGAAATAATCGAAGCTATAAATAGTTTTGAATATATAATGCAAGAAAAACCTGATTTTAGAGGTGCATTAAATTTAATTAATTGTTATCACGCCATTAACGATCCGGATAAAATGAAAGAAGCCTTTCAATCCATGTTAAACATTCCACTTGATTTAGATATGGATAAATATAATCAATCGATCGCAGTACGTTTAAACAAATTAAAATTATTATTATTATTATTTCTATAAGGTTTCCATTAATTTATTTATTTTTAGGACGATCCACAATCACAAGTTTTATTAGAAACGATAAAAAATGATAAATTACGTCAGTGGGAAAAAGACGTGCAAGAAGAAGCCGAAAAAAGTATATTAATAGCAGCAAAATTAATTTCACCAGTTATTGAAGATAATTACACGTCAGGTACAGGAACCTCCAGGTTGTTAACCCGTTCGTTTTGTTGAAAGGAAGACAATGTGATTATTTTGTTTTAGGGTATAATTGGTGCCTGGAAGCTGTCAAGACATCAAAATATGCTTCTTTGGCAAGCGATTTAGATTTAGATAAAGCAATTATGTTATTGAAACAATGTAACATAAATGGCGCCATTGAAATATTAAAAGTTTTTCAAGATAAAGAACCAAGAGTTGCAAGCATAGCAGCAAATAATTTATCATTTATAAGTTATTTGGTAAAATCATCATCCCCAACTCGAAATAAAGGGGGGGAGCAGGGGGGAAAAAGTGTTAATTTGTATTGTGTTGTAGCAAGGGGATCTCGAACAAGCGGAAAAATGGGGAGAAAATGCAAAAGAATCCGATTCGTATAATGCATCCGCATACGTCAATTTGGGAAACGTTGCATTCACGAAGAGAAATTTCGAACAAGCCAAAGAATATTATGAAATAGCATACGAAAATGATTCGACGTGCGTCGAAGCTTTATATAATTTAGGTTTGGTAACGAAACAATTAGGACAATATGATATATCTCTCGGTCATTTTATGAAATTGGATACGATATTGAGACACGAAGCACCCGTTTTATATCAATTGGCCATATTAAACGAGTTCATCGGTGACGTGGATCAAGCTACCGAATGGTACTTGCAACTGTTAGGCGTGGTACCATCCGATCCTGGCATATTACAAGAATTAGGACAACTTTTCGAAAGAGAAGGAGATAAACAACAAGCATTTCAATATCATTTCGATGTGGGATTTTTACACATTTATTCATGTAGTCGAAATTGACGCAATAAAAATGTTTTTTTTAAAAAAAAAAATTCTTTTTCTCAGTCTTATAGATATTATCCATCGAATTTTGATGTTTTGGATTGGTTGGGTTCTTATTACCTATCGCTTGGAGTTCCGGAAAAAGCTTTACCATTTTTTAAAAGAGCCGTTATGATAGCTCCTAACGAACCTAAATGGCAACTGCTATTAGCATCGTGTTATAAAAAAATTGGAAATCATCAAAAAGCCGTTGAAGTTTATAAAAATTTACATAAAGAAAATCCGGATAATATCGAATGTACGCCAATTGAAAATTTATTTTTTTAAAAAAAAAGGAGGAATAATTAATAAAGATGGAGTTTTTGTTTGCAGGTTTACAATTACTCGTACGATTGACAAGCGAATTCGGTTTAAAAGAAGCTGGAGAATATGCACTGGAATTAAAAAGAGCGGAAAAAGCAAAAGAAGTTCGTGAAAGAATCGGAAGTAGTCGACCTGGATCTAGAAGATCAAGCGGAAGGTACTTGTTTTCTCCCATTTTTCCAACCCCACCGATTCGTTAATTCTTTTGTTTTTTTTTTTTTTAGCAGCCATCATAGATCCGCTGGATTCACACCATCGAGTCCTATGAGAGCATCTCCGACCCCTATAAGAAGTAATTCGAGTTCGGCGGGTTTAAGTGGAAAATTTAATGTTAAACAATCGATATCAGAATCTGATGAAATTTTCGCGGAGGAAAATGACGTCGTTAAAAATATCGGAATAATGTCTTACCTCGATCCTTTGGGTCCACCCCCATTCGAAAGGCCGAGAACATCAGCGGAAAGAAAAATAAGCGATGATGATTTTGGTGATGATGAATTAGGGGATGATTTACTACCCGAATGAAAACAAAAATTACATTATGCGAAACCCAATAATAATAATAACGTTTTTATTGACGTCGATTAAAATTCTATTTTACCAAAACCGGAAACGGAAGTGGATTACAAATTTTATTATAATAAGGTTAACGAGTACTTTATTATCGTCAATATAATTATTCGTAATTAAGCAGTAGATAAGTTTTTTTTAAATAGTTTTATTGTCGTGAAAAATAAAAAATTGCCAAATGTATGCATTTAAATCAATTAATTAAATCTCATATCGATCAAATAAAATAAATAATTTTTCCTAAAAAATTTTCATTCCAAAGAGAGTTTTTCTTTTAACTAAATTTCGTTCATTAAATAGACAATAAGTAAGTATTAGAGAAGAATAACCGTTTAATCGTTTTGAAGGTTAAATCAAATAAAAAAATTTTCATTGTAAAAGAAAAAATGCTCCAAATTTATTATGCCATGGCTTACAAGTGTATGATAAACAAGGTGATCGTGATTATGTAATTTCCTTATTAATTAATTATTATTTATTATCTATATAAACAAATAAATAATAATAATAATAATGGTAATAAATTTCTCATAATCGATTTTTTAAATTATTTTCTACGTACGTACGTACGTAATTTTTATCAATTTAATTTAATTTAATTTAATTTTTTAACGGTTGAAAGTCGCGTCGTTATTCAATACAATTTAAAATGTGGGTTGGGTAATTCCATAGATATGTTGATTTGTCGAGTTGATAATAAATCGAACGAAATCTCGGAGGCTTTGTTAATTATTTTTCATTTATGCCATCGTACTTGACAATTTTTTATTTAAATAATTATGATTTTACATATTATTAACAACGATTTAAAACGTAAATAAATAAATAGAAAAATTTTTATCTAAATTGATAAATTGATTATTTATTTTATATTAACGGACATTTTATTTATTTATTTATTTATTGTTTAATAATAATAATTTATTTATTTTCGATTAATTAATTTAATAATACGTTTATTGATTTCGATTCAATTATATTATGAATATCATTATTATTATTTGCCTTTTTTGTTTTTTTACGGGAAGTTTCAATTAGTTTATAATAATTTTCCGAATCGCGTCTTATGATTTCATATCCGGTTTGTTATTTGGCGCAATTTTGTCTCGTGTGTCGTTTAATGAAAAAAGGCTGATTGTGTCGCTTTTTTGTAAAAATCTCATTTTCACGACAGTTTTATTAATTATGATTTTTAAAAAATTTAATTTTCTATTTTTTAATATTTCCCTTTTATCGATATCGAATAACCGGAAATTAAAAGATCGTTTTTTCAATCGTTTTCCTTTGGGATTTTGGGGATGTCGCTTTACCTTTCACGTTTTCATAAGTTTCGTTTAGGTTTTTCTGCTTTTCTTTTGCACTTACTATGTATTCATTTATCTATTATCATTATTATTTATTTATTTATTATTAATTGAAAATAAAAACAATTTTTAAAATCAATAAATTTATTGGTAGTACATTTTTAAAAAAAATTAAACGAGATGTAGGTAAAAAATAAAAAAATTTTGTTTTATATTGTCTTCAAGGTTGAATTATTAAATAATAATAATAATAATAATAATAATAATAATAATAATAAATGTGTCAAAATATAAAAAGAAGGTATTTATAAAAAAAAAAAAAAAAAGGTATTTGATTCAATTGGTCCCTACGTATAGTGTCCGACACGAAAGAATTTTATAAATTTTATCTACCTGAAAAAAAAAAAAAAAAAAAAAAAAAAATTTTCAGGTTTTTTTTTTTCACGACGGCGTGGAATTTTGAATATCAATCAAAAAAAAAAAAAAAAAATTAAATTTTTATTAATTCATTATTTATTTATTTATTTATTTATTTTTTGTAACGGTTTTTTCCCTCCCTTATCGATTTACCGCGGATTAAATTTTTTTTTTTTAATAAAAGTGCGACAAATTTACCCAATTTTAAAAATTAATCTCGATTGTTTATTATGTCGTTCGATTCGCAATAACAATCAAAAAAATTATTACTCTATGATCGACTTTTTAAAAAAATTAAAATAATAATAAAATCCATAGAGTATTTAAATAAATAAACGAAATGAAAATGATTAAAACGAGCGTTTAAATTTCACACGTGCCATATTTTTCCACGTTCGACACCACACCTTTTTTTTTCTATTTCTAAAAAAACCAAGGTATTAAGGTACGATATATCACCTATTAATTAATAATAATAATAATAATAAAACCACAATTTAAATAAAAAAAATAAATATTTTATTTGCGTCGTTAAAAAAAAAAAAACAATTTAAAATGTATAAAAATCCTGTTTCTATTATTTAAATCATTCGAAACTTGCACACACGATCGGTTGGTCGGTTGGTCGGTCGGTGGGTCGGTCGAAACGAATAAAAAAAAAAAATTATTTCAGTTAACGTTTTCACATTGATAAGTCAAGTTTATGTATTTATGTATTATTTATTTATTTATTTATTAATAATTTTTTTATTTTAAATAGTAAAATTATGACGACGTCGCGTAAATAAATATTTCTATTTTTTCGACAAATTAATTAAAAATTATTAATAAAAATTCGCATATGAATTTAATAGGGGAATATTATCATTATTATTATTATTATTATTAATTTACGTACGTAACGACAACAATAAAATTCCAATTTTTCTGCTTTTTTTTTTTTATTATTATTTCGTTTGTTTTATATCGTGTTTGTCGTTTGTTTGTTTCTTACGTTTATTTATTTATTATTAAAATTTATTAAAGCCGTCGCGTAAAATATTATTATTATTATTATTATTATTGTTATTCAAATGGCAATTTTAATATGTAGTTTCAATGATATTAATAATAATAATAATAATAATTTTGTAAATTATAATCATGAACGCAAACTTTTCGATATAATTCGTTTGTTTTTTTTTTTTTTTTTTTTTTATTGATTAAGGCCCCCCAATGGGGCCCAACTGATAAAATTTTACTTACCGTGTTTATTTATTGTTAATTTTTTTTTTTTATTTCGTTGCAAATTTTATATCGAATCGAGATTAAACCAAATTTCTTTTTTATTCGTTTGTTGTTGTTGTTGTTGTTGTCGTCGTCGACCAATCGAAAAAAATGTGTTACGTAAAGAGAAATTCATTCAAACATCACTATTATCATTATTATTATTAGTTTTTCTAATCAGACGACGATTTGCAAAATGATAATACAATCAGGTTTTATCTTAAAACCGCGAAAATAATAATAATAATAAAAATAATAACGATAATCGATGGATGGATAGATGGTAAATTTGGGAAATTTGAAAAATCGGGCCAAAGTCAAAACTGTCGACAACAACGACAATGACAACAATGACAACAACAACAACAACGACAGCAACGACAATGACAACAACGACAGCAACGACAATGACAACAACGACAAACGACAAGGCCGAGAAAACAAAAAAAATTAGTTTAAATTTCATTGATAATTAAATCTCTCATGCAAATCATTATTATTATTATTATTATCATTTCGCGGAAGAAATTATTCGATTGCTTAAATAATAATAATAATAATAATAATAATAATAATAATAATAATAATGATTTGAATATATAAGCAACGCGGGGGATAAAAAAAAAAATAAATAAAAACCGTCATTTTAATTTAACGAATCAATCGGCCGACAAACAAACAAACGGGAAGAGATTTTTTATATTCGACTAATTTTTTGAAATTTATGAAATACGAGAGTTAATTACAAATCGATAATTTTTTTTATTGTTTATAGTTTATAGTTTATAGTTCGACTATAATAATATAGTTTGTGTTAATAGTGTTAACGAAAAGAAATTTTTTTTATCAAAATGGATTTGAAATTAAATCCGAATAAATGTTTATCATCAGATCCTAAAAAACAAAGACAGGTAAGATATTTTTTTTTATAGTCTATAAAAAAAATCATTCGTGCTATATTTTTTATAGAAAGTCATAGAATAAATAAATAAAAACAATTTCATTAATAAATCGTCAACAAAAAAAAAAAACATTTCTCGTCGTTAATAACGATTTTTATAGTTTTAAATATCGAATATTTAATAATAATAATTATAGCGCTATAAAATGCCTTTTAAATGTTTGTTGTTGTTGTTGTTGTTCTCATCATTATTATTATTTAATTTCGTTAACTTTATAATTTTTTTAATAATTAAAAGTTTTGAAACATTTGAAAAGACACAAAATGGGGAAAAATCGTTTTTTTTTAAATGTAATTAAGTCAACGTTTTGAAACAAAACGAAAAAAAGGCTCGAGATCAAAGGTATATTATTATTATTATTATTATTATTATTATTATTATTTTCTCTATAATAAAAACCTCCTTCCGAGAAATTTTTTTTTTTGCAACCTTTTGTCAACTTCAATTGATAACCTTTTTACACTTCTTGTATTTATTTGTGTGAGCACGTCAACCGTCGCCATTTTGTTTTTTTGGTTTGTTGTTGTTCCAGGTATGAAAACTATGGAAAAAATCGTTTTTTTTTTGTGTGTGCGTGCGAGAGAGAGAGAGGGAAAGAAAGAGAGATAGAGAGAGAGAGGGGGGAAAGAGAGAGGGAGAGAGAATTTAAATAAGAAAGAAAAAGACAAAATGATTTATTTATAACAAGAAACAATAAATTAAAACGTGTTATAAAAATTTTCTTCTCTTTCTTTTCTTTTCTTTTTTTTTATGTATTATTTATTATTATTATTATTTAGGGGTGAAATCGTTATCATTATTCCAAGAATATATATATGTATTGTTTGTTAATCGGACATCTTCCGGTTTTATCATTAAAAAAAAAAAAAAAACCGGGTTATCTGTTTAAAAAAAACGTTTTGTTTTTTATTATTATCCGTCAATCATTTTAAATTTTTTTTTTTTTTTTTAAGGAAATGAATTATTATCGATTGAAATGGTTCGCACACAACAAAACCTTTTCTTTCCTTTTCTTATCGATTTTTAATTGACCGATAAAATACTACTCATTTATAACTAACCTTTCACTAACTCACGTACATTTCATTCATTCATTCATTCAGTTACAAATTATAGAGTCGCCATGTTTGTTTTTACTTATGTAATTAATTACAAACAGGTTATTTTAATTTTTTTTTTTTTAAATTCAGTTTTATTATATCTGGTAATCCTGTAATTATCGACTGAAACGAAATTCTTTAATTTTTTTTTCTAAAATTATAATGATACCCTTTTTTTTTTTTTAAATCAAAAACGTGAGGGGATTTTTAACGGAAAAATAAATCGAACGAATTCGATCGTATACCCCTTAAGGGGTAAAAAAAATAACTAAAATTAATTATATTTAAATTAAATGACGGTTTTATATGTCTTCTCCTTCATGGAAAATAATAATATAAAGAAGGAAATAAAATGAACTTTTCTTTATCAGAAACGTTTAAGGTCGTTAAAAGGCCAAAATTATTATAAAATCAAGTCGTCCGACCAAATTTCTCTCTCTTTTTACTTACTACCAACTTATTTTTAAGGTTGGCAAAACCGTTTCGTCTGCATTAGTAAATTTTCGCCGCGAGATTTTATCAAATATGGCGGCGAAAGTTTATTTGTTTATGTGTGTTTTGACGTTTAAATCGTTTTTTGTCGTTTTTACCGAACGCGGGGATTAAAATTTATATATAAAAATTAAAGGAAAAGGTTTCATAATAATAATAGCTCGTTACCATTGATAAAATCATTTGATAAATCAATATAATGTCAATTTATATTTGACCTCGTTGTAGCCTCTTTGTTAAGGTTCTTGACCTACCATTGAGTCGTTGGTCGGAAAAAAAAAAAAATGACGACCGTGTGCCAAAGTCTTTTATCAACGTTATTTGATATATTTTAAATTAAACTCGTTCAATTTTGTGTGTTTGATTTTATTGTCAAAAAATTTCTCAAACGGATTGAGTACATAACCTTTTCCATTCTTTACAAATCAATGAGAGTTCATACCTTATTCAACCTATTATTGATAATAATAGGTCGTTAAAACTCTCTTTTTCAGTTTACGAACTTCTACCTTTCAGATAGGAAATATAATCAACGGATTGATACTCACAGATGATGACATTGATAAAATCCGAAATGTTTTCTTGGACGAACTGGAAAAAGGTCTTTCCGAACAACCTTCATCATTACAAATGGAAAACACATACATACCCGAACTTCCCTCAGGTTCAGGTGAGTACCTACAAGTATTCAACATTCATTTCTCAAGTTTTTATTTTATTTATCTCTCTCTCTCTCTCTCTGTTTTAGAAAATGGTAAATTTTTGGCTGTGGATTTAGGTGGTACAAATTTTAGAGTCCTTCTCGTCGAATTCCTCGATGGAGTACTCATTGATTCTTCTGTTAAAAATTACAACATAGAAGAAAATCTCAGGCTAGGTTCTGGTACGGACCTGTTTGATTATATTGCCCACTGCGTACAAGATTTTCTTATTGAAAAACAATTAAACGATTATGAAATAACATTGGGTACGTTTTTCAAACTTTTATTTTTCCCGCCTTTTTCACTTTTCGATATGAGAACAAAATTATATTATAGGTTTTACGTTTTCCTTTCCTATGAAGCAACATTCTCTCTGTTCTGGAGTTTTGGTCAACTGGACAAAATCATTTAATTGTTATGGAGTTATCGGAGAAGACGTCGTCGAACTTTTTAACAAATCATTAATAAAAAAAGGTTGCAACAATGTTGTTGTCAACGCCATATTGAACGATACGACGGGTAACGGTTTTTTTTTTTTTTTTAAAAAAATCGAATCCGTTCGAAATCGATTATTTAATCGATAATATTTTTTCAGGGACTCTTATGATGGGAGCTTTAATAGATAAAAATGTATCGATAGGTTTGATTATAGGAACCGGAAGTAATGCTTGTTACATGGAAAAAGCGGATAAAGTTAAACATTGGGAAACAGTAAGACACGGAGAAAAAGAAGTAATTTATTAATAATAAAAACTAAATTTTTTCCCCTTTTTTGTTTTCTTCTGACGAATTATTATCAAAAGTTTTTCTTTTTCAGGTTGTTATTAATGTCGAATGGGGTGCTTTCGGTGACAACGGAGTTTTAGATTTTATCAAAACGGAATATGACGTGCAAGTAGATAAAAATTCCCTCTTGACGAGTTCTTACACGTTTGAAAAATACATAAGTGGAAAATATTTAGGAGAAATCGTTAGAATAGTTTTAGTTAAATTAATTAAAGAGGGTTTGTTGTTTAATGGAAAACTTTCGAAAATTTTAAACGTGCCCGATTCGTTTTCAACAGCGTTTGTTTCGATAATCGAAGAAGAGTACGTATAATCGAGGACGTAACGATTCGATATATCGATCCAAGTCTGATTGTAACAATAATTGATTTTTTCGACAGGAATCTAGTCAGCGATTCGACTCAAAATACTCAACAAATATTACAAGAATTAGAAATAGATAATTACACCGAAGAAGACCTCAATGTTGTACAATACGTTTGCCACGTTATTTCTCATAGGTCGGCCATATTGGTCGCCACTTGTCTCGCTATATTAATCGATAGAGTCGATAAAAACGATGTGACCATAGCTGTCGATGGAACGGTTTACGAAAAACATCCATCTTATAAGACGATGCTTGAAAAATATCTTAAAAGAATGACAAAAAGAAAAGTAATGATAATCAGTAGTGAGAAAAAGTCGAAGAAAAGTCGTTATAAATTTTCGTAATGTGAAATTTTTTTTTTTTTTTTCCAGTTTAAATTTTTAAGAGTTACGGATGGAAGTGGAAAAGGTGCTGCCGTTACAGTCGCCATTGCAAATAAATTAAATGAACATTTTAAAGATCCTTTACGATGAAAAAACCCTCCGTTGGAACCCATCTTTTTTTTTTTTTTCTATTTTTTGTTATTAAATAGGTTTTATTAGTTTTTTTTTTTTTTTTTTTTTTTTTTTTTACTTTTAAAAATTTTCAAAAAAAAAAAAATTTAATTATTATTATTTATTTAATTTTAAATTTTCGCGTTGATTTTTATGTCTTTTTTTTTTGTTTTTCTCTAGATTTCCTATAGATCCTCCCCTTCAATTTTTAGATTATTCTATTTTCATACATAAAAATAGTTTAAAATTAAACCGATAGATGGTGTTAAAATCGAGTTGATGTAGTTTAAATTTTATCATTCTACAGTTGTTGTTCGAATTTTGAAAAATTGTTATTTATAGTTTAATTTTACAGTTGAATTTTGATAAAAGTCATCTATAGTCATGTCGGAAAGCAGTAAAAATTGTAAGTACAATAATTATTCAATTAAAGATCGGGATTTGGAAAATGTTTTAAAATGTTAAAATCTGCCATGGAATGGATGGTTATTTGATAATGAGTTTCAGGTATTCAAAAGGAACATTGTTCTCTTTTCCAAAAAAAATAATAAATTCAAATTAATTAATAATAATAATAATAATAATTTTTATTCCCAAACATTATTATCAATTAATTATATAAAAAAAATTTTTCTTTTTATTTATTCGGCGTTATTATGTACAATGACTAAATACATATATAAATTTTTTTTTGTTTTTTTTTCTCTCTCTTTTTAATCTGAAAACGTTAATAAATTTACTATTACAACTAATTATATCAAAAGAAAAATAAAAAAGAAATTAAATCACATACAAAAAAATCATTTATAAAAATTATTATTATCAATAGTAACAGTAGTTGTTGTTTTGGTAATCACGATAATGATGACAATGATGATGACAATGATTACAAATAATAATAATAATTAAATCAATTAACAATAATTAAATGAATTTTTTTTGTCATTTTGTTTTATTCTTTGCAAAAGAGAAAATTTATATAAATAGAAAAAAAAAAAAAATTATTCGTTTACTCTTATGCTAGTTTGCAATAAACAATTTACATAAATAATAATAATAGAAATTAAATACAAATCGTGAGAATATATTTGAAAAAAAAAAAAGAAATACAAAAGGGAATAAAATAAAAAAAAAATTATTTCTCTTCGTCTTTTACATTCTGTCGACAATTAATCGCTCGAGTAAATATAAATGAATCAAATTCATTCATGACAATATTTCCGATTGTTGTTGTGGTTGTTAAGCAATGCCATTATAAATTTATTAAAACAAAATTATTTTAGTTAACAAAAAAAATAAATCGAAACATATTAAAATAATAATAATGAAATTTTTTCCAAACGATTCTCAACAATGATTCACGAGAATAATATCAAAAACAATCATTTCTTACCAACTAAAATTTACTCTTAATTAAATTATTCTAATCAAACAGTTTTATTATTAATAAAAAAAATAAAAATTTCTTATCCCTTTTTTTTTTTTTTTTTTTTTCAATTTCAAACAATCGATTGTTGCAATTATTATTATTATTAGTATCGATTAAGTTTGCGTTTGTGTGTTTGTGGGTGTGTGTGTGTGTGTGGGGGGGGGTGAAAACTGTTTGTTAGTAAGAAAAAAAGTTTTTTTTTTTTTTTTTTTTTATTAAAATAAATATTAATTAAGTAATTAAACTGCTAATCTTGTAATAATTGTTTTATTTCTTCTTTATCTGCTGCTTCTATGTAAGTGACACCATATGGCGATTTCCCACATTTTTCGGCTCCTTTTTCAATTAATAATTTAACACAATTTGTATGACCTTCCCAAATGGCAGCTAATAAAACTGTTATACCATGTTTGTCTTTAGCCTTAAAATAAAATAAAATAATATGTATAAATGATTAATGGGAAGAGTTTTTTGTTTAATCGTTTTTATGTATATTTGATGGTAGTAACGATAAGTACATACATTAACATCGGCTCCTTTCGATATTAAATAATTAATAACGTCATATTGACCATAATCAGCTGCATAATGTATTGGATTTCTACCATCAATTTCTTTATTCACATCAACTGCCTGTAAAAACAAAAAAATTATTCAACCGTACAAAGACCTTTTGTGAACACATTTGATCAAACCTGAACTCATTAGACATATACCTTAATTAAAAATGATTTTTAAGGTAAAATTTTACTTTAATGAATAAACGTATTTCTTTCTCCTTATTTTAAATTAAACGAATTTTAATTCTAATTAGAGAGAAAAAAAAATTTTAATTTTAATTTTACTTACAGATTTTTCAACAATATCTTTTACTTGATCCAAATCGCCATTTTTTATACCCCAAACTAATTCCGACATTTTAATTTGTTTAAAAAAAAAATAAACCATGCAAAATAATAATAATTATTATATATTATTTAAAACGATGCACCGGCTATTTATAACACAAAAAAATTATTCTGTCAAATTCTCTTTGAGCAATTACAATATGGCTGACTTGTGTTATTCAGGTTGACCAACTTAATTATATTTATCACTCCGATTATAACGATCAACTCAAATCGAATTTTATTTATCGCGTACTCATTCTACGAAAATTCGCATAACAATAAAATAACCTCTTTTTTGGAAAAACGGCACGATTATTAATAATTAACAAAGACATTCTTTGTTTTTAACTCTAACTAAATAATTATTAAATAAAAAAAAAACCGTGGAAAAATTCGCACGGTTAACGTCATGAGAATCTCATTCATAAACCGTTTCCTCATTCCCTTCCCCCTCCCCCTCTCCTTCCCCCCGTATATTTCGACATACTCGATTAAAAAAAATCATCATAAGTCATTTTGTGATAATAATTTATTAAAAAAAAAAACCTTTTTCCTTCCTTCCTTCCTTCTTTCTTTCTTTATTGTAAATAATATTATAATAAAAATATAAATGATAATGATAATAAAAACCATGAGATTTTCATGTGATAAATTAAAACAACCGAAATTAATTAAAATTTATTAATTAAAATTTTCTACCCCCAAATCGTGAGATGACAATATTATTATTATTATCTATTTATTTATTTATTTATTAAACATGTAAAAAAAAAAAAAATTTCCTTTTTCTTTTCAAAATATATTTATAATTTTCTATCAATTTATATATATGGGTGCGTGGGTGTGTGTGTGAGTGCGCGTGAATTTACACCATTTTTTTTATACATATATACAACCGAGAAAAAAAAAATATAATATATATATGCGTGTGCGTGTATGTGTGACATCATTTTAAGAGTTCATAGAGACAAAAAACACGTGTTGTCGTCTGCTGCTGCTTCTTCTTCTTTTTAAACGCTGTTCCATTTAAAATTCAAAGAGGAGAGAGAGAGAGAGAGAGAAAGACAGAAAGAAAAAAAGACAAAAAATCCTCTTGAAAGTGGATTCGAATCATTCCTTCTTTCTATCCCGTTCTGAACAGTTCATGATACTTTGATATTCTTTCTTCTCTCTCTCTCTCTCTCACATATCTTTCTCTCATTCCAGATGTGACGACGACGACGACGATGACGTCATTAATCGTCATCGATTCGTAATAACATCTTATATCAAGGATGCTGTTCGGATTCGAGTTTTTGCAAAAGAGATTCAAGATGAGCATGAGATTCGACTCTTTGACTAGGACTCAATATTTCAAATATTCCAATTAAGCTGTCCATGGCAGCTTGTGGACACTCTTTGACCTTGTGACTTATTTGTTCCACTATCGAATTCCTCTTCACGGCTTCCATGTTTTCCTCCAGTTTCATTTTCGTTTCCGGATTTTCCAACCACTCTATGACTTCTTCGTTATTGTCCCACATGTACACTTTCGCCGGTCCCTCTTGTTCGGTGAACCATCTTCTAAGCATCGACGACGCTTGTCCTACGGTCAAGTCCGGTTGTATGTCCAACAGCTTGTTTTTGACTTCGTTTTCCAAAACCAATCTTTTCAGTCTCCAGTAAAAGAACTTTCTAGAATTTCTCCACGGCACAATGTCTAATATGCAACCTTTTTCTTGCATTCTTTCCGGCGTGTCGTGCAAATCCGCGAATTGCACCGCGACTTGGTGGTACATGGGTGCCAAAAACGTTTCCCGCGCTTTTATCTTTTTCTCGTAGGCCGCCTTCTGCTCGGGTAACATTTCTCCCTTGCTCATCATTTCATTTTTTATCGATAGAATGACGGGATCGATTCTGTGCATAGTTTTCAAGAGGTCTCTCATCCGAAATTTAATTTCTACGATTCCTTGAGGTTCCAAAACTCCTCCTCTCGATTCCGGATCCGCATACATTTCCATATACCTGGGATTTATTGTCATGTCCACGACCGCCCACGCTCCTCCTCGCAGCTCTCCGTTCGGCGGAAGGTAAATAATTATGGGTTGAGTGTATTCCCTTAATCCGTCGACGATATAAGCTCCGAATTTGATCACTTGTTCGTACATGTCTTTCATGCCGCCGGAGAAACCTCTCCAGTTGGCGAAAATAAACAGGGGAAGGCCTTCTTTGGAAAAATCTTGAATCGCTTGAGCGGTTTTATATGCGGAATCGGGAAACCATACCTGACCGGCTTGGGAAACAGTCTAAGGAAAAAACAACAGAGAGAACAAATATTATAAATTTGTCAAATCCCGCCATCGGGGGGGGGGGGGGGGAGCGGGAGAGAGGGAGAGATTCCCATTGATTTCCTATTGGTACCTTAGCCTCCGATTCCAAATTGGCAGGATCTGCAGGCAAATTCAATTCTACCGTCCTTGTTTCGACGGCGATGACTCCCACGGGAATACCACCCAATCTAGCTCTTCCGCAAACAACGGTTTGAGCCCATGGAGCCATTATTTCGTCCCACGAACCCCTGTCGAAAAATCCACTTTCCCAATCGGTCCCGTCGTTTATTATCCTTCCGGCTAACATCCACCTGAATGGCAAAAAAAAAACCACATTACCATCGGGGAGTGGGTGGGGGGGTGAAGGGTGGTAACCAACAAAAAAATGTTTTTCTTTCACCTTGGATCGTATGGAGTCTTCGTTGGCATGTATGATATCTCTCTGTCTATCGGATCAGATACTTTTATTATAGGAACAATAGAGTATTTGTCTTTGGGAATGTAAGAGAGCCATTTTAATATCGTGTAGATGCCATCAAGATCGTGAGGCTCCGTTTTATGTGAGACTCCATTGTTGTACATGATTTGAATTCCACCCAATTGATTGTTGCTCGCGTACACTTCTCGTCCCAACAACTATTAACCAAAAAAAAAAAAATCCCACAATACGAGCAAAACAAAAAATACGATAAAGGTACGACGCATACCTTATTCAGAGCCTGATAACCGGTGAGAATGATGTGTGAATTTTCTATTTGAATGACCCTTTGACCTAATCTAACTAAATAAGACCCTATACCGATGGCTCGGCAAGTAACCATACTAATCGTAACTATTTCCTTATAAGCCTCCGATGTTTCTCCCGCAATCATTCCAGCGTACCTGAGATTTTCAACACCCAAACCGTCGTCTTTTCCTGCGACACGTTATGTTTCAATATAATAATAATAATAAGGTTCATTTTAATGAGGAAGATGAATGAATTTAAACGTACCTATAATATCCGTTATCTTGTACCTTCTTTCTCCTTCATCCTCTATCAAAACGGTTTTTACCGAATTCAAAGCCGAAACCTTTGCGTAATCTTCAGTCGTCAGGTACAAATATTTAAATCCCTGAGATATAATAATAATAATAATAATAATAATATGTACATTTCGACTTACTTTCACTTTAAAAAAAATACAAAAATTGTACGTCCGCATACCTTATCAGGTTCATCCGGATCTTCCCAAGCAATTTTAAACAAAGCTTTAATTTCTTCTGCTAAACCTATTCTCGCTCCGCTATTAACGGAAATGTAAATTCTAGGAATTTTTAATTTTCTCGCCATTTCGCTCGCGAGGCAAAAAACTTTGTCTTCGCGAGGTCCAAAAGACCCAATTAAATAAGTTAAATCGTTGGCTATGACTATGATTTCTCTACCTGGAAAAAAAAAAACAAACAAATAAAAACAAGGTGTGACGTGTTTGACTTTTTTTGATTTTCCAGGTTGCTTCCAGACTGACCCGTAGGATATTCCGGAGTGTTTAAAGACACTTTCCACGCGACCATTCCAACATCATTTTCTCCCGGCAGTCTTTTTGTCTCGATTAATTTATTATCGTCGTCCAGAACCAATTCTACGTAGTTCATCAGTTGCGATGGTATGGATATGTCCTCTGGAGAGAGAGAGAGAAAGAGAGAGAGAAAATAAAGGAATCAAAACTACTTCTTATGGTAAAATAAACGTAAGGAAAACCCCCCCCACCCCCCACCTTGTGGATTTTCATCCATGTAATCCCTCCATAATTTATCCGTCATTTGACGAAACATGTCCGGTATGTCGTAGACGTATGTCGTTCCAGTGCTTTGAGCTTGAAACCTTTTTTGCTGCAGGTAATCTTTTGTTACGTAAGGCACCGTGATTGGAAGACCGTGCATGGGTCCCTGTTTCGATCCGTAAGCTTCGAATTTTATCTGCAATCATACACACGCACACCCCCACGTTCGTAACAAAAAAAATAATTTCATTTTTTTTTTTTTAAGGATTTGCTAAAGTTCATACCGTTCCAGTCTTCGGATCCGTTATTTCTTTGTACATGCATATATCCAAGTAGTAACCGCTGTCGTTTGCTAAACACAACCTTATCGTTTCCGTTTTGCTGTTGGGAGTCGTTCGTATTGTCATTTTCAATTCCGCTTGCAAAACTCTGAGTTTCCACAACCTCGGACCGTATCTCATCACCATGTTGGTCACGCTTTCTTCGATCTTTAACAAAAAAAAAACAAATTTCCCATCATGCAAAAGTTCATCATCGATAATTTCCGGTTTCCGGTGTCTAATACCTTCGCCGGATCCATTATCACCGTAGGTACGAAATTCAAAAATATATGATTGCAATCCGTTCGTTTGCTGTGAGGATGACTGAACGCAACTTCCAATTCGTCCATGGCTTCCAGCAAAACTCTTTCCCCTTCGTTTTGCAGGTATTCGAAAGATGCTTCTTTCGTGATTAAATCCGAATGTCGAATTATTGACCGTATGAAAAATCTGTAGTCCGTGACCTCTTGACCTTTCGCGACCTGCAATATTCGAATGATATTATCTGAGACATTATCTTCATCGACGAGGGAGAGAGAGAGAGAGAGGGGGGGGGAAACATTTTTCTTTCCGTTCGTCAAGACTCGAACCTTTGCCTTTCCCAAATACAGGTACATTTTCCTGTTGGCCGTTGCCAAAGCTTCCAAATCGTACGTTCTCATTCTGTTCAATTCCAATTGAAAAGCCATACCCGGTTCTAAATGCCTGTAAATCCTGTCTTCTTGAAATCCGTCCCTCTGCCTGTACGTGAAAAACCTGGGAAATTGCTTTCTGAAATGGAAAGTGATTAATTAATAATCAGCCTCCTTATCATTTTCGATCGTGTCTTTAACCATTTTTAACTTATTTACTTATTTAAAACTAAAAATGTTATCCTCCTGATTCCACGATCCGTTAATTCTTCTAAATTCGTTCGACAAAAATCCCCAAACATTTTACTCAAAGTCGAATCATCCGATTTATTATGATCCTTGACGGCTATGCTTAAAATATGAATGGGTTCGGATTTCTGCAGGAGGGGGGGGGGAAGAGGGGGGGGAAAAGAAAAAAGAAAAACCGTTAGAGTCTAGCATTTAAGCACTCGTTCGTCATTCCCTTCGATTAAATTAAATCCAAACACATCTCACCTGATTTTGTTCTTCGATTCTTATGGCGTCGCCTAAATTAAGGCTCACGCTGTTGCTACCGGAATTCCTGGATTCCGAAGCGTTTTCGACGGCTTCCAAAACCTTGTTCGAAACGTTCACGTTTCTCAAACTATCCTTAACCAAATCTAATATTTCATCCGCGTACATTTCGAATTGTTCAAAGGATTGAAAAGCCGTCATGACGCCAGTTCTAAACCTGATTACGAAAAAAATCACTTATTATTATTATTATTATTATTTAAATTGTTTGTTACGTTTCTCACTCACCAATTTTGAGGACTGAAAGATAGCGAACATTCCAAATCGTTAGAATCGTGATTTAATTTGTTTATCGGTATTCTATTGGGGTGAGACGAGGGAAGTAAAAATTGAAAATGTACCAAACTGACTTCTCCGGACAATTCTAAATGTTGGAGACACGTCAAATCGTACGAAATGTACGTTCGACGAACGTAAACCTAAATAATAAAGTCAAAAATGAATCCTGGGAAATTTCAAACGACTTAAAAAATAAAAAATAATTTTCAACATTTTTATTTTAAAAACGTGGCATTAGATCTACAAAGTCTGAAGGTAAGTAAGACTATCCCGTATCCTTCGTACGTAACTCTTACTCTTTAGACTTTCCTTTCCTTCCACACCAAAACATTTTATAAACTCTATTATTACCTCCAAGGCAGCATTGCAAACGGCCTTGTTCGAATGATAAAAGAAGTCGTGAAGTATGTCGAAAATGGACGTTTCCGATTGTATGAGCTTTTGAATGTTTTCCGGATGAAATTCGTGTCCGTACATGTCTACGGCGGATAAAAATATGCTTTCCATTTGATTGTGACGTAATTCGTAGGCGGGTTGATGAGCTGCTATCAGAACTTGACGAGCTCTCAGTGCGACTCTCGAATGTTCCTGACGATTGAGAGACGTCAATTCGTTGAGTATGGATGCCAATTCGTCCGTGAGACCCGGCTCGTTGTCCCAAATGTGATCGATGAGTTTCGTCACGAGAAAATTTTTTTTAGAAACTTGACCGTGTGAAAATATGAGGGACGTGACCGCCGCCATGTCGTCTTTGTGTTTTTCCCTTATGGCCGACACGCATTTGTCGTAATGACCTGTAAACGATAAAACCGTTTATTCTCTCTCCCTTTCTTTCTTTCCCTTTTTTTTTAGCGTGAAATACGACCTAATTGAAATTGACTCTCGACGGCATAATATTGTTTCAAGAGTTCGTGAACGACGGATTTCATTCTTCCACGGATTCCGTTTCTGTAACGTTGAACTAATTGGACGATTCCTTGCGTGGTTAAGAAAAATACATCTCTGTCCGTACGCTTCTGTAACGTTGCAGCATAACTAACAAAAGAAACAAAACCCGCCATTTTAAATATTTAAAAAAAAAAAAAAAAACAAAGTCGAGGAGAAAGCGATGCCTGCATCGTACCTATCGATGACGCTCGCGATTTGCTGACTGGGAAACTGAGCCAACACCGATGTTATATTTCTTTCGTACAAACTCATCAACTTTCTAATTTTCTTTTCGACGGAAATCGGTATTCGACCGGAAATGGATGAAATGACTTCTTGTAATTCCATCAATGGTAAACTCGGATCACGCAATGACGTCATGAATTTTTCGATAACTTCTCGGACTCGAGGTTCGTGATATGGATCCGGTAAACAATAACCTGAAAATCATTTTTTTTTTTTCCCCGATCTTTAAGCACAAAACAAATTAATTGTGTAGAAAATCATCCCATACCTGCCAATATATTATCAAGCATGCATCTGTAGCTGTTGTGCAACTGATTCAGTTTTTCACCCACGATGGGAGCGGAAACATCCGCATCTGGAAATCCTCCCTTATAATCCAAAGCTTTGGTAATGAGGGAAGCATCGTCGAGTTCAAGATGAGCAATTAGAGATCCGGCATCTAAAACGGCTCCGGGTCTTTTAACGTATACGAGAGTTCCCGTTTCGGTAGCTGATAATGTCATAACCATTTTCATGACCTGGTGGATAAGAGACAAAAAAAATGAGCAACGTGAGTGTAAACACCTCCCCCCCCCCGAGTAATTATTTTAAAAAATCTCACTTCGATTTCCGCGTAAGCTTGCCCAGCTTCCAAATGACCACCGTCGTCTATTAAAAAATTTAAAAGTTTTCCAGCGGAGGGAGATCTAAGGAGCGAGGGATCATTTTCCTTTTCGAAAACGCACGTTTGATTCCCTATGACGATCCTATATCTGTCCACTTCCTCTTTCATGTACGTTATGCAACTGGCTCCGTCGACCGACAATAGAAGACCACCATCGGATAAACGATGAACTTCGATTTCTTTAAAATGACCGTTCATGACCAAAAAATAAGAGGTCGGACCACTTTTCGTCACTTGAACTTTGTACTTCAACCCTTCGTTGATCAATTCAACACTCACGGTGTGATCTATCGTGTTGGACCCTTGAATCTGACCCCTAAAATACATCATAAAAAAAAAAAAAAAAATTTAATAAATTTTCATTCTTTGACTCCTCGGCAAACGCCGGAAGCCATGCAAACCTTTCCAATGCCTGTTGAAAACTTTGAAAATTATTCGTTATTGCTCTGTCGGCGACGTGTAAAGCACCGGAAATGACACCGACGAGAACGTTGGGCTTTTCCGCTTGCATTCTTTCCGCAATCAATATGTCCAACCAAGCCGTGTCGATCGAATTCTCTTGAAACGATTTCGTTTCTAACAATGTAATCAAATATTCTACCGTCGTACGAAAATCTCCACGGATCGATAATTCTTTTAATGCTATCACAAGATTTCTGAAACGAAATCGAGAAGATTTTAATAAATCAAATTTCGATCGAGCTTAAATAATAATAATAATAACAACTTACTCCCTAGCCTGCTCCCGAGTTTCTCCCCAGGAAAAACAATGACCGAATTGAGAATCGGCAAATTCGTGAAGGCCCCCGCTCGCGGCGACGCTAAAATATCCCCAAACGTTTTTACTAGATCTAAAATTTAATTCTTGAACCGTTCCGGAACTCGGTTTGAAACCTGAGAAAAACGGAAACGGAAATTAATTAATTTTTCCAAAAAAAGGTAAACAATTCAAAACGTGTACCTTCGTCGGGATTTTCACTCGTGATTCTCGCCGCAATGACGTGACCCCAGGGTTGAGGTTTATGTCGGGGTTGATCGAAATCTATTTCGTTGTCACCCCAAGGACTTTCACCGTACAAAAGTCTTATGTCTTTGATTTTGTACAGGGGCAAACCCATGGCTACCTGCGGACGGAACACATACGTCACATTAATTCATGTCACGTGAATTTCAATATACGATCTCACATATAATTACTTGAAGTTGAGCGGCCGGTAGATTCACGTCGGACACCATTTCCGTACACGGATGTTCCACTTGCAACCTCGGATTCAATTCCAAAAAGTAATAATTGCCATTTGTATCGTACAAATATTCAACGGTTCCCGCGCTCACGTAACCGACCATTTTGGCCAATCTGACCGCCGCCTAAAATTTCCTTGAAAATTTATACAACGTTCAAATTAAAAAAAAAATAACAATCGGGTATGAGTATTCTCGAACTTACTCTTTCCATGTCTTCGAAAACTTCCAATTTTGCTATTATGGCTGGAGCTTCCTCTATGATTTTCTGATGCCTTCTTTGAATGGAACAATCTCGTCCGAACAACGATATCGCATTACCGTATTGATCCGCTAAAAGTTGAACTTCTAAATGCCTTGCGCATCTCGCTAATTTCATTATAAATATAGGAGATCCAGGTACTTCCGCTTGAACCTATTTGAATAATATTATCATTATAAGTCTGATACACTTTTACCTTTCATTTCTTTCCTCTTTCCCCCCTCCCCCTTTTTTATTTCACCTGTCTAAATTGATTGGGAAATTCTTCGCCGCTTTCAACTTTACGTATTCCCTTTCCCCCTCCACCTTCGGATGCTTTTATCATGACCGGAAATCCTATTTTTTGCGCCGCCGCCAAACCATCTTCAACAGTTTGTACGCAACCCTCTTTGTAAAGTTCCGACGAGATTTTTATTCGTTTGTTACGTTCGGAAAATGTGGCGATGAGACCTAAAAAAAAATTTTAATTTTTCTTTCAATCTTTACCGGGTTTTCCCTCAAGGTAGTAGTGGTAGTAGTAGTAGTAACTCACCACTTCCCGACCAAGGTAGAGTCGGTATTTCAGCCGTTTGTGCCACGATTGAAGATGCAATTTTATCACCCAAAGTCCACATGGCCTTTTCCGGTGGTCCTATAAATACAATATTGTTTTTGTGAAGTAATTCCGGTAGTTTTGGGTTCTCTGACGCGTGACCCCATCCTGCCCAAACAGCCTAAAACGATACCGCACGGAGAACAACACAATTAACCAATGTAGAAAAAAAAAACTGCGTATTATTACATGCGAATAATTATTATATCCGTACCTGAACTTGGCACCTGAGAGCGATATCCAATATTAATTCGACATTGGCATAATTATTATTATTAGCACCGCCGGGTACGGGAACGTAGTGATCGGCCATTTTTATATATTCCGCATTCGCTGTAACGCATCGAGATAATATTAATTGCAAAAAATATTATTTTCATCAGAAAAAAAAACGAACCTGATTAAAATACCTTTTAAATCTTCGGGCGTAACCATTACGACAAATCTGATCGACCTTTCAAATTTAAACATTTCATACGACCATCTTCTTATCGATCTCATGCATTTAACGGCAGCTATACCATTGTTGGCGATGAGAACCTGATTGGGGGGAGTGAAAAAAAAATACAAAACTTTTTTTTACGTCATAAGAATGAGTGTTTAAATGACGTCACGAAACGATTAAATGTTGACCAACGCTTTCACTTTAAATACAAAAATTCTTGTCGGAATGAGTTGGAAAAAAAAAAATTAAATAACTTTCGGCTATTTTAAAACGAATTCTCCCTTCCCTTTCGTTTCGTTTCGTTTCCTTTCCTTTCGTTTCCTTCCCTTCCCTTCCCTATCGTTTTCTTCAATTCCCTTCCTTTCCCTTTCGTTTCCTTTCCTTTCCTTTCGTTTCCTTGCCTTCCCTCCCATTCGTTTCCTTCCCTTCCCTTTCGTTTCCTTGCCTTCCCTTCCCTTTCGTTTTCTTCCCTTCCCTTTCGTTTTCTTCCCTTCCCTTTCCTTTCCTTTCCTTTCCCTTCCTTTCCTTTCCTTTCCTTTCCTTTCCTTTCCTTGCCTTCCCTCCCATTCGTTTCCTTGCCTTCCCTCCCTTTCGTTTCCTTCCCTTCCCTTTCCGTTCGTTTCCTTCCCTTCCCTTCCCTCTCGTTTCGTTTCGTTTCCTTTCCTTGCCTTCCCTCTCTTCCCTTTCGTTTCCTTTCCTTGCCTGCCCTCTCTTCCCTTTCCTTTCCTTCCCTTTCGTTTTCTTGCCTTTCCTTCCCTTGCCTTCCCTTCCCTTTCGTTTTCTTCCCTTCCCTTCCTTTCCTTTCGTTTCCTTGCCTTGCCTTCCCTTTCGTTTCCTTGCCTTCCCTTCCCTTTCGTTTCCTTGCCTTCCCTTCCCTTTCGTTTCCTTGCCTTCCCTCCCTTTCGTTTCCTTGCCTTCCCTCCCTTTCGTTTCCTTGCCTTCCCTTCCCTTTCGTTTCCTTGCCTTCCCTTCCCTTTCGTTTCCTTGCCTTCCCTGCCTTTCGTTTCGTTTCGTTTCCTTTTCAACCTCTTATCGAGGGAATCGAATTACCTTATTTATGACTCTCGTTCCTTTGAACCTTTTGACGAATTCTTCCGGACTCGCAACGGTGAAATCCTTTTCCAGGGATCGATTGTTTATCATTCCCTGTGACATGGAAGGCCTGTAAAAACAATTCCGTTTCACGTGTGATTATGTAGGCATTTATAAAGAAAAAGAGGTTTTTAATTTGAACCTCTTAGGTGTAAGAAAGATAAGTTCGACTCGGATGATGTTAGAGAGCATCATCGTTTAACAGTGGTTTGCGTCCATTTTTACTGTTTGATTATTACATAAAACTCGTGGATATGTGAAATTCATGATGCTCCTACGTCACACGTATCCCAAAAAATCCCTTCATTGGAATCCGTCGCGATACATAGACTGTCGTCACACGGTAGTCATCGCGTCACAGTTTTATCATTTAAAAAAAAAACGTTAATACAAACGATCAGGAAAAATACAAACGATGCGGGATTTTTATGTAAATATCATTTTTTTCCCCATTTTATAGTTGGCCATGGATAACAAACAACAAGAAAAAGAAAAAAAATTAACGAACGGAATTTTTTGACTTCTTATAGCAATTATTCACGAATGCGGATGCCATTGAATAAATAATACGTCATGGTTTTTTCCTTTGGCTCGAGAAGGAAAAAACAAAAAATCCCAATAGGCTGATTCGGGACAAAAGTTGATTCGGTATAAAAACCGGGAATAAAATCGATTAAATCGAAGAGTGGTATAGTATAAAAATGGTGGAAGAGGAGGAGGAGGAGGAGCGGGGAAGGGCGAGCAAACACGCACGATGTCAGTGCGTGTAAAAATAACCTTAACCGACGACTTTCACCTTTTGCAAGAATAGATAATTTATACGCACATCTTTCATTATGCGGAAGAATTCAAAAATTAAAAAATCGAGGTCGAAAGAATTTTACCCCGCTCGATGAATTGCAACCTGCAACAACAGCAACGACAGCAAAGGAAAACGCCCGAGGGGGGGGGGTTCCTTCCATCTTTGAGCCGAATGGGGGGGGGGAAAATACGAGGTTTAGGTTCCGTCATTAGGTGTCAAAGTCATTGCAAAATTGATCATTTACAACCTATCGTCGTCGTCGTCGTCGACGTCATTATCATCATTATTATTATCATCGTGCCTGCGAGCGACAAAAACTTTACAGTCGGCAATTTTTATTTAATTTTGACCTCCTGATCGAAAATAAAACAATTTCGTAAACAAAATTCATTTCTTAGATTCTTTTGTCAAAATAATAATAATTAGGTGAGTTGTTAAAAAAAGGACGTCAAAACGAGGTCTCTCTGTCTCTGTCTTTCTCTCCCTCTCTCTCTCTCTCTCTCTCTTTCTGATAATTTTTAATCGTGTCCGAATGAACTTATCGTGTCTCTTTTTATTTTTTCACAAAAAAAAAAAAAAAAAAAATCATGCAAGATTTACGACACAATTTCTTTTTCGTTTAAAAAATCCGATAAAAAGAAAGTGAAAGACAGAAAGAAAAGTGAAAGCGACAGGAAATAAGAATGTTTTCGACATAAATCCCACGAATGACAGATTTTCAGAGAAGAAGAAGAAGAAGAAGAAGAAGAAAACCCAGAAAAACTTTTTGTTGAGTGTGCGTGCTTGTGTGTGTGTGTGTGTGTGTGTGTGTGCGCGTGTGCACAGTTAATAAGAAGAAATAAAAATTCAGGTGTAAGACATTGACCGAAAAGGAATGTTAAAAAGTTGGTTCCGAACACGTGACAAAAGTAATTTGACAACCGTACAGGTTCTATGTCACGTTGATCATTGTTAACCCGATTCTCACCGTGTCACTCATTTCTTTCTTATTCCACGACCAACCTTACGCTATAAACATTTACACGAAATCCATACACTTTGCATCGACCAATTTTTACTTACATACTTTCCGGTACTTCCGGTACTTCCAGAGAATTTTCACTCGACGATAAATTATGATTAATGAACCTTTTCAATCTCGGCAGACTCATTTTTCCTTTTGTCTTTCTGCACGACAACAAAAGTGTTAAAAAAGTGTTAAAAAATTTTTTTTTTTTTAAAACTACCACGCACAGCACGCAGAAACAAACAAACAAACAAACAAACAAACAAACGGCACAAATAATCCACGAGTCAGCAATTAATTAATTTATTGACAAATTTTTTTTTTTTTGTTACACCACTCCATGTTTTTTTTCTTTCTGAACGGACGCAAACACACACGAGCGAGCACGCAATACAACTACTACTAGGTACGTTGCGCACGCGACCATCACAACAACAAAAAAACCGGATTTATTTGCGCCAGGTTTAAAAACCGTCGACCGAGTTCTTCTTTTTTATCCATTACGCTACCTAACGAGTTTTTGCTAAAACGGCTCTTTACGACTCGAAATCGCCAACGAGGTAGTGGTAGTGGTACCACTACTACTACTACTAGAGTAGTACCACCATCGACACGCAATGCCTCGCCGTAATAAGACGCGGTCACTTTTTTTTTAATCCTAAGGTACTACGTACGGGATGACAGGTGCAGTCGATCAAGTGAAAGTTATTATAAGACTCGATTGTACAAATAAATAAATATGGCGGAACGCGTTATTTAACATCATCATTATTATCGAATTTTTCTTTTCCGCCATCTTTGTAAAATTCGCTCGCGGTATCCTAAAGGATTACTTAACGTCATCACGTCCGAACCCCTTAAAATCGCTAAAATTTTAACTTTCTTGGAAATTTCTAGAAAAAATCGTTTTATTGTCGTCGCGTGTGTGTGTGTGTGTGCGCGTGCGCGTGCGGAAACCTATTACCATCCGATTACGAAACGCAAAAAAAAAGTAAAACCTATAACCGCCATTTTTTTAAAATAATTAATTGAGGTCGTCGTCGTTCGTCGTTGTCACTATCATCATCATCATCATCGTAGTTATTTATAATCGTTACCATCATCATTATTATTATTATATTCTTTGCCAGGTATGCACAATGGGTAACGTTATAGTCGTGGCATAAACGCCTGATAATTAAAATTCGATTATTGTGATAAGGAACGATCGGGTGATGATGATGATGATGATGATGATGATACCGCATATTTCACGTGCAATCACGCGTAACCGTTATCCGTTTTACATTCTTATTCTTTTCAATTCATTTGTTTTCTCCTTCCACGACTGGATAATATATCACGATGATAACAATAAAATAGAAATACAATAGGAAAAAATTCAAAACTCACGCGTCTCGTTATCCTCATGCCACTTTTTTTTTTTTTTTTGAAAGTATCGGAAATAGATTTCAAAAGTTGCCCTACCCACCCCCCCCCCCGAAAAAAAAATCTGCCCCCCTCAAATCTAATCCGGGTATTTAAATATAAATTGATAATCCTTCAAAGAAAAAGAAAAAATTACCTCAAACGTTTTTTTTGTTCTCCCAAACCGAAAGCATAATTTAAACTTCCGCCACTTCCGGAATCAAAACTGTTGGATTTTAATCCCGAGGGAAACGAATCCGCTTTCTCGTCATGATGTTCATCTTCTGATGTATGTAAGAGAGAGAAAGAAAGAGAGAGAAAAAAATCAATTAAATTTCTTTTTTAGAAAAGGCTCTCAAATTTAAAAAAAAAAAAAATTAAAAAAAACGACGTACCTTTAGAAAAATCCTCCGGTGGACCCTCGACTGTTATTTCAGGTTCGTCTCCCAAAATAAAATTAACTGGCGGCGATTGGACTTCATTCGAATTCGTACCATTTGTCATATTTTTCGATTCCATTTCTATCGATTTGGTCAAATTATTACCGCCAGAAAACCAACCTGAAATTAAACATTTAAAAAAATTTATTCTTCCGTCACGTCACGTTACGTCACATCACACGTGGGATTAAGAACCACAAAAAAAAAAAAATTTTTTTCTAATAAGTGTTTTTTTTTTTTTTTTTTTTTTTTCGAAGGAAAACGACAATAATAATGATAATAAAAACAGAAAACATTTTTTTCTAGAACCTTCGAGAGAGTATGAACAACAACCATAATTTGAAAAAGGGTCAACGTTCCCAACGTTTAAAAAAAAAAAAAAACTTTTTTCCGTTCTATTTTTTTTTTTTTTTTCGTTTTTCTTTTTTCTTCTTTTTATGCTGCCACGTTCATTATTACAAGTCAAATCTAATATTCTGTGACCTTAGTCAAGGAAAAAAACCTTTTGAACTTTTGAACGTATCGAATAGAATATTTATGGATTTTTAAAATCGTATCAAATCCTTGTAATTTGTGCGTGTGTGCGCGTGTGCGCGTGCACTCGAATACGCGAAATTCTTTGCGTTAAAAAAAAAAAAAAAAAATTACTGATAAAAAAATAAGCAACGAGACGAGAGGTGTATTAGGGCAACGAGACGATTCTCTCTACCGGACCTCGAAAAATTATTCCCATCATTTTAATATATATATATTCACTATCCAAGATCGCAAACGGAAAAAAGAAAAAACCTGAACCCCCCTACCGTCTCCCCCCTCCTTTCCTCAAGTACACAAGTCGTCGACTGCATAACAAATAAATAAATAAATAAATTTATTAACCCTGATCTTTAAACCACAAATAAAAAAAAATTTGTTGAAGACCGAACAAAAAATTTTTTTTCGACATAATCATTAATGAATTTTTTTTTTTTTTTTTTTTTTTTTCAAATTTAAATTTCACGGATCCGTTAATTGTTTTCCGATTGAAACGCGCCCTCGCAAGCGCGCGCCAAAAAAAAAAAAACGTGTCAGCAGCAGGATGTAACCGTAAAAAAAGAGGGGAAACCGTCGTCACATTATCGACAAGGGACTAGAGATACGAATTAAAAAAAAAAAATTTCCCCAAAATATATCGAAATGAATATTATTCTTCTTCTTCCACGACAAAAAAAAAACTACGTAGTTTTTGTTCGCTTATAAACGAAAAAATTGCGTGTAATGCATTTATAATGGGTAACCTACATTTGACGAAAATCCACAAGTTTCAAATTAACATATTTAAACAAGGAGGAAACGATTTTGTAAACTATTAAACGACCAAAGAAGAAAAAGAAAAGTTCTTAGAAAGAAAAAGAAAAAGAAAACTTCACGAGGATTATTAATAATTAATTAATTTTTTTTTGTATACGACGATTTGTCTCGTCCGAAAAAAAATCCGAAAAGTATTTATTTATTACATAATTAATTACGTAACTCTCGCGTGCATAATAATAATAATAATAATAATAATAATAATAATAATAATAATAATAATAATAATAATAATATCAATCCGATTTTTTTTATTTTCCGATTCCGACGAATATCATACGTTTAATTACATAATTTGACGTCAATAAGAATCGAACGACATTTTTTTTTTTAACGGTCTATCATTATTATCATTATTCCCTTTTTCGTTTCAAATTAATTAATTTTAATAAAGAAAAAGATAAAATATATTTAATTATCATCATCATCATCATTATTAATATTTCTTTTTCATTTGACGTCACATTTTAAAACAAAATCAATAATTTATAAATCGAAACGTTTTGACCTTTTTACCTCAAGTTTATCACCACGAAAGGATTAAAAAAAAAAAATTATTCGAAGACACTGATAACGGTTCGAGAGTCTACCAATTAACCACGCAATTCAAATGCGGTCGAACCTAATAATAATAATAATAATAATAATAATAATAAATAAAAATGGACGGTCACTCGAGATTAAAAAATGAAAGTAACTACGACGATGACAACACCTGCAGGAAAAGAATAATTTATGACAAACGTTACAAAACCTAACATTATCGTAACATTTCTCGAAAGTTCTCGATTGATTGAATCGATTAATCGATATATCGATAAAAGCTAAAATCGAAAGAATTTTGCCGTTTAAAAATTAACCGTTCGAACCTTAACTGATGACACGATTTTTAACGAATCGAAATTCGAAAACAATCGAACAAACAACAATCAATCAATCAATCAATCACCTGAATTGTAAAACGCGTAAACTATTAAACCCGTTAAGAAAATCAACCAAAACATTTTAAAACTTTTTCCTTTTTTCCTTCTTTCCTTTAGCGCAATTTTTTTTCATCAATCGTGATAGTGATTCAAGGGCAAAAGGCTACGACACCCTAACCTTCACATCGAGAGAGAGAGAGAGAGAGAGAGAGAGAGAAACCGGTTAAAAGTAATTCCGTTGGGACAAATGTCGACAACTGTAAATTTCGCACATGAGCGACAATAATCGTTGCCAAATTTGAAAAAATTTAACGGCAAATACGTGACGACGCAGGTTTATCCGAAAATGTTTTCCCTTTACTTTTTGTCTGTTTGTTTGTTTGTTTGTTCGTTTGTTCCTTCTCATACTAAATCCTCACATTCTTTTCAAATAATAATAACTTTTTCTCTCTCTCTCTCTCTCTTTTCCTTATTTAAAAAAATATCGCAATAAATGGAATGACCGGAATGTTTGAACCAACCGACATTTTTACCAAAGTTTTTTTTTTTTCATTCTTTCTTATTACAACGTATAAAAATTTAAATAACGAATTAATTAATAACGTAATTACAGGCAGGAAGTTGATTGATTTTTTTTTTTTTGTTTTTTTTTTTTTATTTTCCTCAAATTTAAATTTTTTCCATTTTTTTTTTCCATTTTCCTAGACAAGATTCAACTATAAAATTCAATATTTCCCATGTCTTTTAGTTTCTCCCCACCCTTTTCCAAATGCATGCAAGTAATGAAATTCTTAAAGAGGTTCAATAAACTATTTATAAAGTACTACTCGTCTTACAGGTACAAGTTTTTCTTTCAAGAAAAAAAATTATCAACTTTAAAAAAGTAAAAAATTCAACTCGACCAATAAAACAAAAGTTAAGTCATCGATTCAATATTTTTTTTTCGACTGACCTAAACCTAAATAAAACTGCTTCGAATACAATTTTACAAAACCATGATTATGAATAAGAAAAAAAAAAAAAAAAAAATTATTATGCTACATTACAGAAAACGATTTGAATTTACTACATACAATTCAAATCATAACACTCGATTTAAATTTAACAATGACACAAAAGAGAATCGAAAGACAAAAAATAATTCAAAATACATCAAAATTTCAAAAAATGCTTTCTCATATTTACTCGTTAAATCCTTTAACAAATCACTCATGAGTTTTTCATAAAAGATGTCACAACAATCACACATTCGATAAAAGACACAAAAAAAAAAATTTTACACAATTGCAATCGATTGAATTGTTTTTTTTTTTTTTTAATAAATTCAATGCCATGTAAGTAAAATTTAATATGTACATTATTGATTTCTATCACAAATGTTTTCACATTATGGTGAAAAATGGTTATTTAATCGTTAAAATCCCTTTGAAAACAAAAGAATTAAAATCTGAAAAAAGGTAAATTTCGATTCACAAGATTTTAACACAAGACACCTAACATCCTGATGATATCTCTATATTCAACCTTATGTTAGTTAATGATTATTTATATATATTCCACACACACACACACACACACAACTCATTTAATATGAATTTAATGGTAAAAACCCAAAAAAATGAAAAAAACCATGCCAAAAATCGATTAAATTATTCAAGGTTACCAAATTAATCGAAATCAAACTACTTTGAATGCAGTAATATGAAAATATTTTCATTTGAAAATTCATTTCAAGGATTTTATACACATATATAAATTCATTATTAAAATAGTAAATTGATACAACAAAGTATGTGTGAGCATAAAGTATAATTTGTGGCACACACACACACACACACACACATGTGCACACACAAACAGCAAAATGATATCGAAAAACAATTTCGAATGTTTAATAGATTTCAGATGAATACAAGGTGAATTGTTTCGTACACACACACATATATTTACTTGTTTTACACATAAAAACCAACAGAATATTCTTATGTTAAAAAAAAAGGGAAACAAATTCATGGATAGAAATGAAATGATGAAAGAATTGTAAATCAACCCTCAAAATTATTGCCATGTTTGCAAACCGATTGAAAATCGTTTGTCACTTTAATTAGGGGAGTTTTAACTTTTCTCAATGTTTTATAAGAGAGAAAAACAACAGAAAATAATTTTACTCATCTTTTTTAAATGAATCCATTTTTCTACACAAACGAAAACTCATAACTTTCAACATTTATGAATAAAAAATGTAATAAAAAGATTTACAAAAAGAAAACATGCTCCAGAGACTTATACTACATTAATAAATAAAGACATATTCGATAAGAATCATCAATTAAAAAAATAAAATAAATAAATAAATAAACAATCGTACGTATAAAAAATATTCATTCATTTAATTTGTTTTTTTTTTTTTTATATATATTTATATTTATTTATTTATTTATTTATTTTGGTGTCGAATAAAACGTAAATAAAAAGATTAGGTAATAGTAGTAATAATAATAATAATAATAATAAATTAATTTAAACGCGCAAAAAAAGAAAGAAATTTTTTAAAAATGTTAACTTTGATTCCAAACTATAATATAATAATCAAGGTTATGATTGGCTCAGGGAAAATCAGCCGATGAAAATTAGAAATTTCATTGGTGGACCACGAAAAGTTTTTTTTTTTTTTTAATAAAAAAAAAATTTTCAAATCATTCTCAGATAAGGTTGTAATACAGCAAAAAAAAAATGAAAACGACATTTAAGAAATTAAAATATATACGTAAAAAAATTATTATTAATAACTTACGTAAAAAATTTC